AAGAAGATCCTTTTTTTGAACTCGTACAACACAACGTGTCTCAGATCTCCTTATGAAAGATCTGGGGTAGCCTTTGAATAAAAAAAGAAGCATTGATGTCTGCGTGTGAAATGTTTTCAACTGATAAGCCGACTTTTTGGATGTAAGGGAAAGTCGAGCGCATAAACAATTATTTCGTAAGAACAAAGCGTTATCAAGATTTATGGGCCAGTCTAGTTATAAAATAGAAAACGTTTAAATGGTAACGCATAGATGAAATTGAGGTGTCAAATAGGGGCAGGCTACTTTGCGTCAAATCTTTTGCGCAACTCGCCAAAACTTTCTTTTAAGTGGGCCAATCTTTAGGATTTTGGTGTCATTTTGTTGCACTTATTGAGATCTACAAAATGAAACCAAAATCATAAAAATTGGTTCACTTAGAAGAAAGTTATGGCGAGTTGAGCCGACGCAGTTGCGCAAATGACCCAGTTGCGCAAATGACCCATTGCGCAGATGACCCAGTTGCGCAGATGACCCATTGCGCAGATGACCAGTTGCGCAGATGACCCAGTTGCAGATGACCCAGTTGCGCAGATGACCCAGTTGCGCAGATGACCCAGTTGCGCAGATGACCCAGTTGCGCAGATGACCCAGTTGCGCAGATGACCCAGTTGCGCAGATGACCCAGTTGCGCAGATGACCCAGTTGCGCAGATGACCCAGTTGCGCAGATGAGTGCGCAGATGACCCAGTTGCGCAGATGACCGTGCGCAGATGACCCGTTGCGCGAACGACCCAGTTGCGCAGATGACCCAGTTGCGCGAACGACCCAGTTGCGCGAACGACCCAGTTGCGCAGATGACCCAGTTGCGCGAACGACCCAGTTGCGCGAACGACCCAGTTGCGCAGATGACCCAGTTGCGCGAACGACCCAGTTGCGCGAACGACCCAGTTGCGCGACGACCCAGTTGCGCAGATGACCCAGTTGCGCGAACGACCCAGTTGCGCAGATGACCCAGTTGCGCAGATGACCCAGTTGCGCAGATGACCCAGTTGCGCGAACGACCCAGTTGCGCGAACGACCCAGTTGCGCGAACGACCCAGTTGCGCAGATGACCCAGTTGCGCGAACGACCGTTGCGCGAACGACCCAGTTGCGCAGATGACCGTTGCGCGAACGACCCGTTGCGCGAACGACCAGTTGCGCAGATGACCCAGTTGCGCAGATGACCGTTGCGCGAAGACCCAGTTGCGCGACGACCAGTTGCGCGAACGACCCAGTTGCGCGAACGACCCAGTTGCGCGAACGACCCAGTTGCGCAGATGACCCAGTTGCGCGAACGACCCAGTTGCGCGAACGACCCAGTTGCGCAGATGACGTTGGACGACCCAGTTGCGCGAACGACCAGTTGCGCAGATGACCCAGTTGCGGAACGACCAGTTGCGCAGATGACCCAGTTGCGCGAACGACCCAGTTGCGCGAACGACCCAGTTGCGCGAACGACCCAGTTGCGCGAACGACCCAGTTGCGCAGATGACCGTTGCGCGAACGACCCAGTTGCGCAGATGACCGTGCGCGAACGACCGTTGCGCGAACGACCCGTTGCGCAGATGACCCAGTTGCGCAGATGACCAGTTGCGCAGATGACCAGTTGCGCGAACGACCCAGTTGCGCGAACGACCCAGTTGCGCAGATGACCCAGTTGCGCGAACGACCCAGTTGCGCAGATGACCGTGCGCGAACGCCCAGTTGCGCAGATGACGTTGCGCGAACGACCCAGTTGCGCGAACGACCAGTTGCGCAGATGACCCAGTTGCGCGAACGACCGTTGCGCAGATGACCCGTTGCGCGAGCCCAGTTGCGCGAACGACCCAGTTGCGCGAACGACCCAGTTGCGCGAACGACCCAGTTGCGCAGATGACCCAGTTGCGCGAACGACCCAGTTGCGCAGATGACCCAGTTGCGCGAACGACCCAGTTGCGCAGATGACCCAGTTGCGCGAACGACCCAGTTGCGCAGATGACCGTTGCGCGAACGACCCAGTTGCGCAGATGACCGTTGCGCGAACGACCCAGTTGCGCAGATGACCCAGTTGCGCGAACGACCCAGTTGCGCAGATTACCCAGTTGCGCGAACGACCCAGTTGCGCAGATGACCCAGTTGCGCAGATGACCCAGTTGCGTCAAAGAAGATCCTCAAACCTACCCCGTCAAAGAAGATCGTTTTTTGAATAAATTTGGTGGCAAATTCCCTTAAAATGTAAAGATATTCAATTTACTCGACGTGTAAAGAGGATTACTCGTAGTTACTTGGCCAAAAAACGTCGATTAATCAAGTAAAAATGACTCATGCAAATTTTTGCTCAAGTAATTACTTACTCGCAAGGAAGAAACCCTATTCCTCTCTCTGAATCACTGGACGAGCGAATTGACGAGTGACGAGTGTACACTGGACGAGTGAGTTAAATTTGGTTCCCTTTTTAGATTTGTTCCTTCTCCTAATTTGCCTTTTTCTTTGATTTGGTTCATGATTCCAACAAATCTGGTTCCTCCCCTTAAATTTGGCCCCCCCTTGCCCCCTAAGCTATGCTGATACATCTATAAATTATCAAATTTGAACTCGTTTAGTCAGAAATAGTGCAAAATCACAGCTTACAGCTAGAAGGGAACACCTTTCATTTACAGGATCTATGTAATAACTCTAGCAAAGTACAGCAAAGCAAAGTACATTTCGAAAACTCATTAAAGTCTGACTCATCTCTGTCTTGATTTAACAATTTAGCCGTTCAAATTTCACAACAATCCCCCATTCCATCTCAACAAGTGCAAAGATTTGGATCCCGTTTTATTGTGTTTCTTAATTTTGCGGGGTCCAAGGGGTCCCCATTATCTTTGGCTGTTCATCCCTGAGCTCTTCCCCCTTTCCCCTCCTCTCTATCACCCTTGCCCCCTTCAATTCCCCTCAGAAAACATATTACAGCACACCTCCTTTTCTTTTATCCAAAAGAGAGAGTAGGAGGACCAGTTGACAACAACAATCTCCTTTCGATGAACTTTTCAAGAAAGAGAAAGATCGACAAAAGTTTTCAAACACTCGATCACCCTTTCGGAGTTTAAAGGAATATCGATTGTTGCTCGTTTCTTTGGGAACTCTTTAGAAAGACCATTTTAACTTTTAAAACAAGAAAATGATGAAGATAAAGTACTCAAGAAGTAGATTAATGCAAAAATACAACGCAAAAAAATAGATCAACATTTGCAGAAGAGAATTTTTATCAGCAAGTTGGTCATCAGCTTCCCGGGCATAGCTTAAATGATAGCAGTGAAAAGGTTTTGTTTACAGTTTCGAGTTTTTTTTATTAGCTAAAATTTGAATAAACATAATCTAATTTGAATAAACATAATCGCAAAGAAAATAAAATTGTCGGCAAAAATGAAACCGGCTCTGAATTTCTGTCGAAAATTTTAATTTTCGCGCAACGTTGAATTCCAATTGACGTCGCCCCCATTTTGAGGTAGTTGATGGGGGGGCCGCGTCGTCGTTTTGAATCATTTCTTTTTTTGCAAGAAATGATAAAACCACCACGTTTCTTTTTCATTTTATACCTGTAATAACCATTTTTTGCTTTCTATTTCTTTAATTTTTTTTTAGGAAGATGGAGCGTGGAAAATCGCTTTTGCGGATCGTTTAAATCCATTTAAATCCATTTAAATCCAATAATCAATTTAATTTTAAATTTATATAATCCAATACCAAAAAATCACGTCGTTTTTTTGGAAATTACAACCACTTTTTTGCCCCTTTTGAAAATTCGAGAGGTTGGGAAAGGGAATTTGAATTATTTGTTTAACTCATGTCGGATTAGATTGCTTGTCGATCTGTCAATTCAATTCAGATCATGCGTCTGACTTGGCTATTCCAGATTTGGGCAAAAGATTACTTCTCAATAGATTTTCCTGGATGTTTGTCCTGGCCTGGCCTGGCCTTCTCCTAAAATTTGTAGGGAAAACCCAGGACCGCCTGGTGGCTTCAAATTTGCATTGTTTTGCTCTTTCAAAGCATTCACAAATGGCACGGAAACATTTATTCTCATTTTCGGTGTCAAAATTTAAAGCACAAGATTTGCATTCAAAAAAAAATCGGGGCAATGGATTAAGAAGAAATGAGGAAACGATAGAAAAAAAACGGATTTTGGAATTTTTAGGAACAAGTCGTTGAACGGCTGGAGTTTGTTGTTGTTTTTGTTTGTAGACGGATTTTTACACCTTTGGATAATCCTTGCCCTTCTTTTCGAGCTGAAAATTTGCGAAATTGAGCTGGTGATTTGGAAAAGTTATCCAAATTTCTAGGTCAATACTTCTTCTCGAGAATTCTAGGTGTACTTTGCGCTCACTTCTGTACTCCTTCTGGCGCACTGAATTCCTTATTTTTCTCACAGTAAAGCCTTTGTCTCTCCAGAAGGCTTCACTGTGAGAAAAATAAGGAATTCAGTGCGCCAGAAAGGATGCGTTTACCAGTGAGCAAAGTACATCTGTTCAAAGATTGTGCGACCTTTTATGCGCCCCTTTGCCATTGGCAATACAACTTTAAACTCAAATTTCGTGGTGTTCGGCTGTCCAAGTGAAATAGTTTTTGTACTAATCGATAGAGAAAGACTTGGGGCATCTAATGACATCATGAATATTCAAATTGAACAGCCAAACACCGAGATATTTTGGTTTGAAGCTAGATTGCCAATGGAAAACGGGTGAGACACATATCAAATGTCCGATAACCAAGTGCATCTGTTCAAAAGCTATGTGTAAAGCCGGCTGCAGAGCGGATAAGCTTTAAATAAATCATTAGCTCTAGCTGTTTTATAGCTTTTTATCTTACAGCTTTTTATCTATACAAAAACTTACACACAAAAATCGTTACTTGCTGGGGAATGCGGGGATGAGAAAACCAAACACATAAATGATATTTTGAGAGAGAAAGATTAGATGAGAAGCGGGGGAGAGTGCGGTAGCGATGAGCCGTTTAGGCAAAGGGATTCGTTTTTCCTTGTTTTTGAAGCTAAAAAATAGGATTAATTGATTAGTGAATCGATTGATATTAATAAGAATTAATATAAGCTTTGGATTTCATATAATATAAGCTAGTCAGGGTATCGCCTTGATGACATCGCTTTTGAAACACATTGCTTTGATGGCCTAGTTACCGTTATCGTTATCGTAAGTTCTCGTAGTACTTTTATTACCATATTACTGTAGTTTTTACCCTACAGGATTACGTTATCTGTTATTTAGAGTTTTAGACCATTATCCCCAGAATTAAACTCATTTTCAACTGAATTTCTTATAATCTATAAGCAAATTATCGAATGTTACCAAATTGGCAAATTACCAAAATCACTTGCGACCTTTTTCCGAGAAAATCCTGGCTTGGCGCTTTAAAGCGTGGTAAAACTACCGTACCCCTCGAATTTGCGCGAAATTTCATTTTTTTCATTCTTCTTCATTTCATTTGATTCTTTTTGCGTTTTTTTCAACGTTTTTCAACTAAAAAGTCACAAAAACAAAGCTTTCGCCATAGAAAATGATGAAAATCACTTAACTTAACATTAGTTAGCTGGAGCAGATCGTCGGAAGCAAGCTGGTCTAAAAAAACTCTACAAACAAAGCTTCCGCCACAGAAAATGCTGTTAAAAACGTAACATAGCTTTCTCCTTCTCATTTGTTTCCTTTTGCAATTTTCTACGACCATGGTCGGGAACGTTGTTGCAAGAAGAATAAAATGAAATGAAGGAGAAAGCTAAGTTACGTTTTTAACAGCATTTTCTGTGGCGGAAGCTTTGTTTGTAGTTTTTTAGACCCGCTTGCTTCCCGACGATCTCCTGCGGCTAACAAATGTTTAGTGGATTTTATCTTTCTGGGCTTTTTTTAACTTTTAGTTGAAAAACGTTGAAACGGGAAAAAATGCAAAAAGAATCAAAATGAAATGAAGAAGAATGAAAAAAAAAGAAATTTCGCGCAAATTGGAGGGATACGGTGGTTTTACCACGCTTTAAAGCGCCAAGCCAGGATTTTCTCGGAAAAAGGTCGCAAGTTCGAAATCTACGGCTACTGTACAAGGTTTATATTCTTTTATTTAAAATTCTAGACCACTATTTTATCTTTTTATTGTTTATTTGTTGTTTTGTTTGCTTTATTTGAAGGTAAAGCTGGGTGCGAGTAGCCAAAAATAACTAATACAGTAAGCTCAAAGCATTAGTGATATTGGGTTGCATTTAGAAATCAATTTTAAAAAGTTCTCCAGTCAAGATGGTATGTATTGCCATTTTTGACTTAAATCTGTTAATTAACGAATTCCTGTTTATTAGCTGAATATGTTTTCTTTTTGAACTTACAATGCGTCCAAGTGAGAGCATCATCATGCAAACAGCGAAAAGATCTCTTCCCTCAAAAAGATCCACCGACTGGAAAGTTTCCTCGGTTGGCACGCCGAACTTCTTGCCGGCCTGAAGATCGCTTGTTTAAAGTCCTTTTATATCTTTCGGGTCAGAGAGCCACCATGGCCGACTGGTATCTTAATCGAAAGGTCAATCCCGCCAGCAGGGTTCAATCCCGGAGGCTCTTTGGTTGATTTGTTATTGGTTCTTTTTTTCCATGAGTTTCTTCCTTTCCAAGACAAGTTCCTATGAAAAGCGCACCATGGCCGACTGGCTAAGAGCCTGGTATCTTAATCGAAAGGTCAATCCCGCCAGTAGGGTTCGCAAAGAGCACAAAGTACAAGCTGGAATCTTACCTCGATGAAAGCATTAATATTCTCCATGCAGGCAAAGTTCGAGATCGGTTTCTGGATTTTCTTCACACTTCCCGCCTCGATTCCATTGGCCACTCTAGAAAGTTTTATTTTGTTACAAAAATACTCAAATTATCTTCACAATTTAGTAATATAAAGTTATTTATCTAGCCTACTTGCAAAGGAGAGTTCCATCCTTGAGAAGCTTCTGGAAATTCTCGGGAGTACCTGCTGTGCTGATGTTTTCACCTGAAATCCTTTAGATTTAGATTTTTATTTATCTTCTATCCTTTCCATTTTGATTTTTACTAGAGTTTTTCTCTAAAAAGTAGTTTAAAAAGCTCCTTTACTCTTTCCTTTCTCCGTTTCACTGAATTTTGATCCAATTCAACTCATAGTTTGATTCCATATCAAATGAGTTCAAAATTAAAGTAGAAAACGAACAAAATCTGATGGAAAGATTTAAAAAATGGCTTTCCGAGTCACCTTTTTCATGAGATTTCAAAATCACTCACCAGAAACTCGCTTGACCCATTCAAGAATTGCCTCGCTCTCTTTTTCGCTGAATTTCGAGGCTTGCTGAAAGCTCTTTTATAGATTTTGTCTACTAGTTTATAGAAGACATTAAGGGCTACCTTTTGGTATATTAAGCATAAAATTATCTCAAAATGGGGCTGAGAAATGAGGCGTCTAAAATTGGTCGTGGGGGAGGGCGGGCGTTTATTAGAGGAAATACGGTATCAAATTTTCCGACGTTTTAGAATAGAATAGGGACAAAATTTGATGTAGCTTCTGTTTTTTGAGTTCTGCTGGTTCGAATTGCTCGAATTGCTTGCCAATATACTTTACGCTGAATATCATTTACTATTTATCTAAAGCTGTTTAGACGATGAACCACAAAGTGACAGAAATAAAATACGACTTTGGTTGTCACGATTTAGGTACTTTTTCTACATTCCGCTATGAGAAGAGTGAACGTGTGCAAACTGATCTTCAACTTGATCATTTCGATGAGTGATGAACAAACTTTGAAGAACTTGTTCGTAAAATTGTGACGAAAATCTTCGAGAAACAACAAAATGCGAACATAAATAGGACTGAGCTACAGTATACTCCAATTTTGTCTGACTTTTAGTCTAGTCTTCACTTGTACTTAAACTGGCTTCCTTATATTCGAAATATTCGGCACAAGGGGTGCGTTTACATTTTTGAGCGCAAAGTAATAAATGGTAAGATCGCTGAGAAAATGGCTGAGAAGAGAGTGATCAAAATATCGAATTCTTATCGCGAATTTAATCTAATAGAAAAATGTTTAAACTTAAAGTAAGAAGGTTTCAGAATAAAGGTTCGCCGGATTACTAGTAGTAAAAAGTCAAGTTTACCGTCAGTTAAGCGTCGTTTAAGCCCAAAGCTTGCTTTAACACACATGAGTTACCCCGATTTTCCTTAATGCAAAACAGTAAACGATTACGGTTGTCGGGAGTCAACTTATCGTTATCGTCACTATTAAAATCACTGTGTAAAGATTGTGGGAAATATGCCCCGCCCCTTTGCCATTAGCAATTCAACTTTGAGCTCGAATATCTTGGTGTTGGGCTGTTCAATTGAAATAGTTTTTGTACCAATCGATAGAGAAAGACTTGGCGCATCCAATGATTACAAGAATATTTAAATTGAACAGCCGAACACCAAGAAATTTGAGCTTAAAGTTAGATTGCCGATGGCAAAAGAGGCGGGGCGCGTATCAAATGCCCGATAACCCAGAAAGAATGCGAGAGTTTTATATAGCCGCGGCAGCCTCACAAAACTTAAAATATTCAGCTATTCAATTGAAAATTTATTTGGCAAAGACGGCTTCCTAAAATCAGATTTTCCTTTGTCGCCACTCTTTTATAGATATTCACTTAAGCAACTTCTAAAGATATTCAATTAATTAACTTTGTTTTCCCAAGTTTTCAGCTGATTAACTGAATATTTTCAAAAACATAGCAATTTGCGGGGTATTTACGGGTCCGATGGGACCAAAAATCACCTCTAAACTCTTGTTTTTCTGAAAAACTTCAACATTAACGTTACTTTCTAGTATTATGTTCATGATCAGAAGGCTAAAATACATCAATTAAGTGTTACAAAAGCCTGACTTGAGAAATTCAATTTCTATGTGGATCAATTTCAATCTCTAGATTTCCCTTTAAAGATTTCAATCAAATTTCGTTTTACTTCTCCTAACTGACCGTAATCTACTGCCATGACCGTAATCTACTGCGTAAACCCGATAATTCTTGAAGCTTGAAAGCTGGCACAGGTATTACGAGTATTCGACTTGTAATCCATTCGTAGTCAAGCTTTTCCCTACCTTAGCGAGCACGGAGAAGCCAATTCCACCAGCGACAGATCGGTTGGCCATTTTTGAATGTATGAAATCAAAAAGTGAAATCAAGGGATACGGGAGAGTCCGAGGGGGAAATGAATGAGGAGGCACAGATATAGCCGGCGGTGGAGAGGAGGGGACTCCGCCCCTTGGACCTCTCGCTAGGCCTTTCCCTCCGCCTCCCCGTCCAACTCCTCCAACTCCTCCAACTCATCCATCTCAGCCGTTCGCCTCATCAATGATCTTTCTCTTTTCCCTCTGAGAATCCTCTTTGTGATCTCCCCCGCAAACTTTCTCGAATCTTCCTCTCGAAATGTTTCACAACAACAGATGACGCCTATCTCAGTCGGGGGATTTCACCTATGAAACTTCGATAATGAAACTTTTAAATAGAATCGTGTGTGGAAATTGCTCGTTTCGACATTTGGTAGACAAAAAACAAGCACAAACCAGTAGCTGAAATACGTGAGTAATGCGTTTTTTAAAACGTGCCCGCTTCAACTACCGTAATCTTGCCTCTTCTCCAAAATATCTACTGTCTGATTCTGTGCGGTTTACAAAGGATACAAAAAGTAAATAGGCTGGGTAAAACTTTAGACTTTCAATCAAGGGAACGCCTTTACAAAGCGCAAAAAAAAATTTGGAACGCCAGCTATTTTGTCCATTTCTTTTCTCTTGACTCGCTAACATCTGGCCCTTATTGTTGTCTCGACTTTTTATTCATTTTCCAGCTCGGCTGGGAAATAATTTTTCGTTTATGGTGATCGAGATCAAAAAATCGTCGATCACCTCCAACTATACAGTCTTTTTATTGTTCTTTCATGGACCATTAAATTATATTTATTGTCACAAAATTCGAAAAATAATCAACGAGAACAACAACCATTACGAGATCAAAATATCATTAGAAGGCAGAATAGAAGTCCTGTTGTTTCGCCAACTCGAGCAACATAGGATCATCGAAGAATTTGTTGACCGACACGTCTTCAGATAACCCTTTACGACGTCTAAAAATGACAAATACGATTTGAATAGTGAAAAACAATTACCTCGTCTTGATCATAAACTCTCGAGCCAAATGAGCAGCTGGTTGAAGCTCAAGCGGTCGAATCACAATGCTCTTATCGAGTGGATCACCGGGAACCATCTAAAAACAAGAATCTCATGCTCAAAGACAATTATAATAATAGATTGCGCTCTTGATACTCACTTGCCAATGCGAGAAGGCCGTTAGACAAAATGCTTGCCCCTGAGTATGGGTACGAAGATCCGTCTCAAATCCGAATGAGTCCATCACAGGAATATAAGCCTAAAACAGTTAATATTAAAATGAATCGTTTCGTTCATGTAACCTTCATTGTGTACATGGGAGAACCAGAGATTGGCGCATCTTTGAAAACGTGTCCTCTTCTTTTGGCAAGCACCTAAAAATACCAAGTAACATCATTAAGTGCTTGTAATACCGTGTAGACGCTGCTTACACAATCCGCTGGCGCAACAACTTCGACCAAGTAGTAAGGCTCCATTAAACGAGGAGTGGCCATCTAAAAAGATACAATTGAATAAGTCAATCATCTATCACTCACCAAGAAAGCCGAATATGCGCATCTTCTGGCTGTTGGGATGACTTGTCCACCTCCTCTGTACAGTGGCTCTTGCGCAATTGTAGCATCCAGCAACTTGAATTTAACATTGCGAATAGCTAAACTTTTTATGATTAAAGTTACTAAAACGATTCTTACGTTCTTCACACAAAGGCCCTTCTCTGGCCGCCCATTGGAATCCTTGTACCAAACTTTCACGCACAGTACTAAAATAGGTTTGCAACTCAATCAACGCAATGAACCTTACCCAAGTAGTTGTTTATCGACTTCAGACGGAAGAGTGTCATCAAGAAGAATGTTTGGTCCAGTTGTGTCGGGTCCAAACGCCCAAATGCTCCTAAAAGAATATCACAATCAAATTAGGATATACAAAAGTAACCGAGCTGCCAATAGATCCCAATCGTATTTCGTTTGGAAGAATTCTCCTAATTTCCTTCGGTTCCAGCCGATTTGTACCACTTCGTTCTCAATGTCTTCCGCAAGACCTTTCTCCAAAGGTTCCGCAATCATCGTCAACTTGTTCCTAAAATTATTTTCAGTTACAGTCATCAACCCTTGTATTACTTTTTGTTTGGTGTTTCAGCAAAGCACTTCAACGTTGATGTATCGACAACCGTCTCACAGAAGGAAACCACCGGGTCGGCAACTTTGATATCGATTTCGGAGAAGACCTAAAGCAAATAATATAATCAGTTGGATGAAAGTTTGTAATCAATGTTACATAGTGTTCTTCAAATTATCCAACCTTACGCATATCGTGCATAACACAATCCATGTATAGTTCACCAGTTCCAAGTAGCACGTGTTCGCCCGATTCCTCGACTCTTGTCGTCAGCAGTGGATACGACTTATTAACCTAAACTTTTCGGTAAATCAATATTGCCCAAACAAAAAACCTTCCGAAGACCATCAAGCATTTTTGGAAGCTCGCTTGGGTTGATCGGCTCCACGGCAAGCTTCACCACAGATTTTGTATTGAACTTCAGAGGACGGAAAATGTAGAGCTAAACAAAACAAAGTTACCACATATCTTTAATGAGTTAATTACATCTTCATCCCATTCAGTCTCAACGATTGTCGCTGTTTTGACGATTGGCTGATCAATGCCTTCGATCAAGACCCAACATCCGGCGGGCACCCGAGAAACTTCGATATCATACCTTAAAAGTTAAAAGTTTACGATATGTATGCTTTAAGCACCTTGCTTCCGGTACCCAGAGACGTCCGACTGTCATTCTACGGCAATCTTCCTCATCTTGAATACTGTAATTTTCTCCCAGGATTCGTACCTTAAAAATAGGCATGATTGATTTACTAGTGAATCACCTACATCTTGTCCAGATGTTAGAGTTCCAGAAAGAACTCGTCCAAGCACTTTAAACGAAGTAGCATCATTCGTTGGATAGTTTTTGGTCGTGTGTACCATCAAAGGACCCTAAAGCGACTAACTAATAGAGCTAAATAGGTTTCTTACAGCTGCATCGCATTTGACCATCTCTTCAGCAAGTTTACTCTCCATGGGCCCAGTCCAACAATGTTCGACTTTCGCTCGAGCGTTGTCGGCTGGCGATTGGATATGAAGAGTGACGAGATCGGCAAACGCTAAAGTAATTGATTATTAAGAATATTATATTGCTGCAATACCTTTGAAGTCCCCAAAAAATCGCTTGCAAATCAGCGCAACGAGTGGGCGGACGTTCATCTTTTGCTCGGCCACCGAAAGTTTAATTCCCAATTCCGCCATGATACTTGGAAGACACGTATCGACATCCCCAACAACCTTTAAAATTTTATATATACCGTTGAAACTTTTAAATATTACTTGACTAAAAATTTTGTAGAGTGGATCCAAGATAAAATGGACAAAAGTTCGAGGCGTCGAACCAGTTGGTGGCTTCTTAGAGAACTTTCTTGTTGATTTGGTGTAGTAGATGTCACCCCAAAGTCGACGAGCGAATTCTTGGGCATTCAATTTTTCTAAACATAGACATAGATGCTTTTTGGCCGCAAAGAAACCACCATAAGTTAGATTAAAAACTTACTGCATGACTGTGCGTAGACATTTGCGAACGAGAGCAACGAGAAGCAGAAGTTATACCGGCCGGAAGCGAAAACCACATTTCCCATCAAAGGCGAGATGAGAACGGGGTTGGGATCTTCCGAAAATGTCCTAAAATAATTTATATCAGAAGTTAAAATCAAAACTTACTGCAAAAGCGCATTAATTTGGTCAATAATTAGACGAAGTTTGTAGTAAGCATCAGCTGGAGGAAGCTAAAACCAAATGAAATCTTTACTAATGCTTTGCACATACCTTGAGTTCCAGTATCATTCTGTCCACTTTGTTGATGCAAAGTACAATCGGCAATCTTTCAGCAACAGCGTGTTTAATGGCTCTCTCCGTGTTCATCATAACCTGTAATCAAGAACTAATTCAGTCATCGATAAAAATATTACTCCTTCATGAGCATCCACAACCACGACAACTCCATCAGCAATTCTATAAGCAGCGGTCATCTCATCGGAAAAGTTCACATGTCCTAAAAGAGCCAATACATTCTTATACATAATGATTGTTTAGCATATCCGTAGCTTTATTTTATTAGTCAACATACCAGGTGTATCAATGATGTTGAGAAGAAAACTTTTGTTGCGACTGTCTTGCATGACGATGGAGATAGGCATACTTTTGATCGAACATCCTCTCTGTTGCTCGATGAACAGGGTGTCCGTGTAGCGAGTATCCTGGTCTTCGGCTCGGCAAAAATCCGGATGCGTTTGCTCCATCAAACAATCGATAAATGTAGTCTAAAATGACATCATAATTAGCTGTTATATCATAGCGTTACCTTTCCATGATGTAAATGTCCAGCTATAGCGATGTTCCTCATTACATGGGGACAATCCATCAAATCTGCAAGGTATTCCTTGTTGTAGACGGTGTTTGGTAGATTGTGCTCGGTGGCTTGGAATTTTCGTTGAGTCGTCGGCTTGACAATTGGTTCAGTCAAGGGCTGGGCGTCCTCCTCTTGAACTAATGTTTCCACCTAAAGCAGAAAATAAAAATTTTAAAAACAAAGTTCATTTCCTACCTCTTGTCCATAAATTTCGAGAGCCGATTTGTAGTATTTCTTATCCTCGTGAAGTACAATTTGATTTTGTGGAATTGCTTCGGCCTCGTCTTCTTCCATTTCTTCCTAAAACAAACATATCACTACCACAACAACCTAGCATTTTCTAAAACATTAATATCAGTTAGACACAAACTAATTGCACTTTTAAGCCCGCTTTCCGTAGCATCTACATTTCAAACAGTTAAAATTTAAAGGCAACATAAAGGGGTGATAACTCTTCATAATCACTTCAAACCACAAACCGCTTCATCATCCTTGTCCCCATCTCGATCCTCTTGCATTTCTTCGGCATCATCTTCCTCCTCATCACTGTCCAATTCGGGTCCGACATAGTTGCCGAATTCGTCGTACAAGTTTTCGCCGTCCATCCTTTAGTTTGCGGTGGACCTAAAAAGAAAAGACATTAACTAGGTATTAGAAAAACAAAATGCAGGAAAATGTTCGGAATCAACGGTGCTAAATTTCTAGGGGAAGGAGGATTGAGCGGAGGAAAGTGCTGTGAACAAAACTCGTCAAATTGCTGCGTTTAATCAAAACATTTAAATTTTTCATTTTCTAGCATTTAGCCTGCAAAACACAAATACTAATCAGATTCGAGGCAGAAAAATCATTTTCGGAAATTTGAACGGGGAAAAGAGAGGAAGGAAAAGAGAAGGGCGCAGAATAGAAGGCAGCCAAGCGAATCCCCAGTTGAGACACGTAATGGTAGTTGTAGGCTTCATCATAAGCATGTAGAATCTCGTCGTGTCAAACATTTTTGAGCACTTTGAACGTAGAAACGTCATCAAACCACAAAAATCGGTGTTTCTTTCTTGGTAATTTCATTCTTCGATCTAACAATGAGCATTTAAGTAGAGTTGAGTACAAGGTGAGACACCAATTCACCACCATTATAGGGAGAGAAATACTGGAAAGTTTTTCGGCAATCTTAATTTTAAAGAAAATTTATCCTTTTTAAGATATTCAGTGTGTAAGTGGATATTTATGTTTTTTATTTATCCAAGTCATTTTTATTTATTGCCAATTTTTGCTGGTGCCCACTTGGTACTACTAATTTTCACAATATTTGATTGGTTTCTTCCGCTTTCTTTGATTTCTCAAATCTTTTGAATAATCTTTTAATTTTAGAATGGTCACCCGATTGTGTTTGGCCGTGCTTGTGCTCTCCACTGTCGCCGCGCTGGATCCAAGCGATAAACCGAAGGGACCAAAAGTCACCGATAAGGTTTGTGCTTACGCAAGTAGCTTAAGATGAATAGGCTAGGTCTCTGATCGTTAAATTGGTTTTATTTTTAGGTATGGTTTGATATTTCGATTGGCGATAAACCGATCGGGCGTGTTACAATTGGACTCTTCGGGAAGACGGTTCCAAAGACTGTGCAGAACTTCATTGAACTTGCCAAGGCAAATTTTTCATTTGAATAATTGAATGCTTAGTTGTTTTTAATAAATGTTAGCCTTTAGAAACCACAAGGCGAAGGTTATGTGGGGAGCAAATTCCACCGCGTGATCTCCGACTTCATGATTCAAGGTGGAGATTTCACTCGCGGTGATGGCACTGGTGGACGGTTAGCTTTGAAAGATTTAGTTTTCACGGTGATGTTAAAAATTAGTCCCGTATTGTAACATTTAGTTCAATCTATGGTGAAAAGTTTGCCGATGAGAACTTCAAGCTGAAGCATTATGGAGCTGGATGGCTAAGCATGGCAAATGCAGGTTTGAGTTGCTGATTTAATTGAAATTGTTTTATTATAGGACCTGATACAAATGGATCCCAATTTTTCATCACCGTAAAGAAGACTCCTTGGCTAGATGGAAGACATGTCGTTTTTGGGAAAGTGCTTGACGGAATGGACGTCGTTAGAAAGGTTTCTTTTAGTATTGAGCTTAACCCGACTTTGTAATTTTAGATTGAAAACACTCCAAAGAATGCTGGTGATAAGCCAAAAGAGGACGTGACTATTACAGCTGCCGGACATGAGGCTTTTTTTTCTTGAGAAGTAAAGTGACTATAGTTTTTTTAGGTTATCGATCAACCATATTCCGTGGACAAAGTTGACGCCCAGTGATCAACGAAGGAATAATTCTCTAGTCTAACCTTTTTCTTTTGTGATATTTCTTTTTTTCAAATATTTATGTGATAAATGTTTCAGGGTAATAAATATCACGGAAAAATCCAACGAAGGCCAAAGACTGAGAGTAGATTCACCTGCCGTCATGAGCGGTGGTACAAATCTGACGTTGTCATAGAGACATCCTGCAAATTCAGCTTGAACCATTCTTAAACCTCTCACTTGCAATGCATGAACTCCTGCAGATTTGATTTAGCTAATTGGATCGTTAGTGTTAAATGTTTATTAAACTTTGAATATATTAATGAAAATCGTTCTCAATAAAATGTAAAATTAACATAAGTAGGTGAAGTAAGGAAACATTTTGGGAATACCAGATTAAAGGATAGGGAAATGTAGATAGACTAGTTCACATTGTTATTTCACAAGACAGCGAGCGACAAGCCTCAAAAATTGACTATTCTATCCAATATAACTGGTTACCGCTCTTTAGGCTAAAGTTTTAGTTAATCACAGTTTTAACATTTTTATAATTCATTAGTACATAATGGAGGAAAAATAAATAAGTGATCCACACAAAAAAAACCTATTATGATACGATGAGAAGGTGTGTACTGGCAACAAAAAGCACGATATGAGATCAATTTCCACCTCCAATTTGAACCGTCTTCGCCACAAATGCTGCGAATTCGCCATTGTCGTCGAATTGAGTGTACCTTAAAGTTTTGTGTTCTGGTATAGAAACATCAAGGTACCTTTGGAAGAATGGATGCGCAGCTAGAGTCTTCAAATTTGCTCGTTCGACGGGCACTTTCTTCAGGCATTTAGACACGAAATCTAAAATAAGAAGACGGGTTTAAAGAGGTGCTCGTACTTACCGACACACTCATCCGTAAAAATGTTTCGTGGCAAAGTGGGAGCGGGTCCATTTACAATGTAGTCCAACATCTCGAAAATTGCCATCGATGCAGGGGATGTTGATGATTGATAAGTTGGAACCTACATAATCGTGCCGTTTTTGTAATAAAAAAATGCTCACTTCACTCCGTTCATCCGCTAATACAATTTCTCCCTCGGGTACTTGGAAAATGTTGGCGAATTCCTTCTTGGTGATTGCCGGAACAGGATATCTAAATAGAAATATATCACAGGGTAAGAGTGAAATACTGAGGTTAATTCTCGCTAAACTTAAAATTACTTACTTCCCGACAAGCAGCTCGATCAATGAAAGCCCAAACGACCAAATGTCCGATAAGATGCTGTACTGAGAGCCAGTGAGTCGTTCGGGCTAAAAACGGCAAGTATTACTAGTCAAAGCTAAAACTACTCGAACGCCTAAAACTTTAAACTTACAGCCATGTAGCTTCGTGTCCCTACAAATGAGTTCGCCATGCTGTCGACAAGAACTCCAGACACACCAAAATCGCACAATTTGATCTCGCCAGCTGTGTTCACCAGCATATTCGACGGTTTCACATCTAAAAAAAGGTTAAATCCTTTAACTCGACTAAAAAAAGTTAACCTCGATGTAAAATCTTAATTTCGTCCTTCAAGTACGTCAACCCTCGAACGACAGCAACAGAAACGCGACCAACAAAGTTTTCTTGAAGACGTCCCATCTAAAATCATCTTTAATTAAATGTAAACAAATATATAGCTAAACATGAAGTCATTGCACAACCTCCATTATAAGAAACAAAATTAACAAATAACTTACTCTTTGCAAAACGATATCGAGAGACAATCCGTTCATGTACTCCATGCAGATACTGATATCGTTGTTGTCGACGAACGCTCCATAAAAACCGACAATAAATGGCGAGTTGCATTTGTGTAGGACGGCTAACTCTAAAATCAAACAACTTGTAGGGTAAAGTATTGAATTAATAACAAAGACAAACAAGCACCTTACCTTTTAAAATTTGTGTCCTTACGCTGGGTTTCACTTCCAAATGCACGAGTTTTCTGGCCATTATGATCCCTCGTTGTTTGTGTCTAACCTAAAAACAGAAAATGTTATGAACAAAAAGCAGACAAAGCTTAAGATTTATCTTTAAAAACTCACTTTGTTGACGACTCCACCATTCCCATGTCCCAACTCGCCAAGAGTTTCAAAGAAGTCTTCGCTTAGATCGCTTTCCTAAAATATACGTTTTGGTAACATGATTTGAAAAATATTCACTGACAGCGATCCCCTCTTTCACGGCAACCCATTCCTCCATTCGCTGTTTTTGCGGTTCGGTCAATCCCAGCCGCATCAATTGCTCATCGATAGTGATTCGTGCGGGTACAACCTAAAAATGATCACTAGATTCCGAATATATTAACAAAGTTTTTATATAGGTAAGAATTACAATGAATGCGCCTTTGCTGACACGGGATTGTCGATTAGCTCGGTTTTTTTCGTGCCACCTCTTATCGGCAAAATTTATCACCATTTCTTGTAAAACCTTTTTTTAATTTACATAAATTTTTAAACCGCATGCACCATAAGCGGTTGCCAGTATGGTTAAGGTGCGCTCTTTCTTATAAATCAAAAATTAACACAAAAAAACTTACATCCTCCTCCTCTTTAGCGTCCTCCCGCTCGGCTTGCTCGCTGACCGTCGGAGGTAGGCTGAGTCCGAGTGGATTTCGGCGTTTCCCACTCGACATTTTTGCTATCTAAAATGCGAAATGTAGAACAAAATCTATCTGCAATAAAAACATGAAACAGAAAATGATTTCGAGTAAAGTAGAAATTTGACGTGATCGATCGGAATCCGCACAAAAAGACTAGCACTCAAAAGACGATATAGAATTTCGCTAAAAAAGTCGATATGAGTCAAACTCTTAGTGGCAAACTGTTGCAGGATTACTTGTGTAGCGGGCATGACTCTTTCCCTTTTCTCCCCTTTTCCCTCTGTTAAGTGAGTGAAATGAAGCGAAAGAAGGAAGGGGAAATCCACCCGATAACACGTCAAAAACCCGTTGTCATTTGTATTCCCGTGTTCGGATTTTCGGGCCTAATTCGGGAATTTTTGTAAAATTTTCAGAGCTCGTTTTTAAACTTTAAACTTTCTCTTGTCCAGAATCTCGACCTTATAATGCTTTTGAATTTAGAGCTTGTCGATGACATCATGAAGAATGGAACGAAAAATAGAAAGAAAAACGGCGATGTGAAAAAGCAGCCCAGGTTCTCTTTTTTAATTTTCTGACAATGAGTCTGACTAGCATAAATGATTCTAAATTTCTCCATAGTGAACTTTCTTTACTCGATAGCAAAAACTAAAATAATGAATCTACCGAATGAATTCAACTGAATTTTAAGCCATCTAAAATTGCTTAACTATCGGATTAATTATGCTTAACTATCGGAATTATTAACACACTCGTAAACTCTTGTTTAGAAGTTTGAAAGAGAAGCGGCAGCAGAAAAACCTCGAAAAGAGGAAATGGAAAAAAGCGGGAATCACAACGGAGGATGTTGTTCGAGAATACGACTCACTGAGAAGTGTAAGTGAAAAAGCCTCTCTTTCTTTCCTGAAAGAGGCGATTTAGCGAGATCCCGACTCATTCAAAACCTTCGACGACTTTCCACTTTCTGAGGCAACACAACGAGGATTGGCTGATTCGAAGTAATTTTTTGGCCAATTTTGCAAAGATTTTTTCTTTTGGCTAGTTAGCAAAGTTTAGTTACGTGGTTCCAACGGAAATTCAACGCGACTCGTTACGATTTTCGCTCAACGGCGCTGATGTTATTGGAGCTGCGAAGACGGGCAGTGGAAAGACTTTAGCGTTGGTGATTCCGGTAAGTAAATTTGCTGTAAAGTTTTGAAACGTAAAACTTAGATCTTGGAATGTTTATGGCGAAACAAGTGGAGTCGGGATGAAGGGCTTGGAGCCATTATCATCAGTCCAACTAGAGAGCTTGCTCTACAAACTTTCAATACGATTAATAAAGTGAGGCTAAAATCAACTTGATTTAACTGAAAATTTTTAGGTTGGACAATATCATGACTTTTCTTGTTGCCTTCTGATCGGCGGAGGTAAATTGATATCTTTTAGTTTGTCAAACTTAAAAATACAATTCAGGGACGGATATCACTTTTGAAAAAACTCGAATTGCCAGGATGAACATTATTGTCTGTACACCGGGTCGTTTACTACAACATCTTCATGAAAACGACACATTTTTTGTAAGTTTACTTATTTTCTCAAGATAGACGCCGGTTCTTTAGACCGATCAACTTCAAATGTTGGTTATCGACGAAGCAGATCGGATACTCGATTTGGGATTTTCTTCTCAGGTATCAAGTATTTTAAAAACATAAACTGTAGCTGAAATCAATTTTTAGCTGAAGTCAATTATTGAAGCGCTGCCAAAAGAAAGACAGGCCCTACTATTTTCTGCTACGTTGACTTGTGATGTGAATGACTTGAGCAGAGTATGCACAAAGGTAAGCAAATTAGTTCAAAAAGTTTTACTCAAAAATAATGGTTTTTAGGACCCTACATTTGTTTCCGTACATGAGAAGTCAAATTTCGCCACCCCTGACGAGCTGAAACAACTGTATTTGGTTTGCGAAGAGGAGGAAAAGGTACAAAACCCGAAGTTTTAAAGTGTAATCTATTTTAGTTGAACTTGCTTTGGTCATTTATCACAATGCATCGGAAGTCGAAAACTTTGGTCTTTGTTAGCACATGTAAACAGGTGATTGTTGTCAAAATTACATCAAGTATCTCAGATTTAGGCACGTTTCATCTATGAAGCTTTTCATCAGTTAAACCCGAGTGTTGTTTTGTTAGGCTTATGGGGATCAATGAAGCAAAATAAACGAATTGAGGTTTGATTTTTCAAAAAGGATTGCTTAATAAGTAGTTATTAGGTTTTTGAAAGATTCGGAAATACTCGTCAAGTGTGTATGATTGCTACAGATGTCGCGAGTCGAGGCCTTGACTTTACAGGAGTCGATTGGGTTGTGCAAATTGACGCTCCACCAGAGATCGATGATTACATTCATAGGTCAGCTACAGCTGATTCCTCTCTTCAAGTTAAAATTGTATTTTGCAATTTTTGTACTTCCTTAACGGATGATTATAAAAATCTATTTGAATATGCATTTGAAATCTTTAGGGTTGGACGAACAGCTCGAATGGGGCATGAAGGCCAAGCACTTCTCTTCCTTACCACAAACCAAGAAGAGTCGATGTGTGAACTGTTTCTACAACGAAAGATTCCTGTGACAAGGATGGAGTAAGCGTAGTCTTGCACATTTGTAACACCTCACTTGGATTGGTTATTTACATTTACTCATTTTAGAACTGATATAAATTCGATGAAGAACATCCAACGAAAGCTTCAAGCCACAATTGCTCATTCACCCGAACTCAACGCATTTGCTCAACGGGTAAAGTTTGCTAACTGGTTGAGATTAATTTATGTGTTTAGGCTTTTGTCTCGTATGTGCGCTCTGTTTTTGTTATGAAAAACAAAAATGTCTTCAATATTGACAAGATTCACACAAAGGAGTTAGCCGAGTCGATGGGATTGGTAAATAAACTCTCAACTTGGCTTAATTGAATGGGTTTTAAGATTTCCGTTCCGAGAATCCGGTTTTTACGCAAACAAGGGCACTCGCTTGATGATCCGGTACGTGTTTGTATTAATATTTAAACTTTTTTTTAGAAATTGAACGGGAAAACACATGAGGGTACCACGGTTTTCACGGCAGGACACGATTTTGGAGAAGAAATCAATGATTTATCAGAGGATGAATTGTTTACCGTAAAGAAGAAAAATGTGTTCAAAGATGATGATGCCGAGGTTGTTCTCTAATTTTAATTTAAAATCGTCAAGTTTAGGAAAATGACATTACCGAAGAAGTCTTGCTGGAAGAAGCAAATAATCCTAAAAAGAAGCCGAGACTTCTCACACGGGAGCATCTAGCACAACGGATTTTGAATAAAAAGATTAAGGTAACAATTATTTGGCTAATCAAGCATACTTTAGTTTAGGTTAATAAACGAACAGTGTTTGATGATGAAGATGGAGAAAATGAAGAAACGAATGAAGGATCTTCTCTTGGATTAAACTTGGAAGAAGCGAAACGAGAAAAGATGCAAAATGACAAAGTAAGCTTTTGAAGATTATCAATATACCTTTATATTTAGATGGATCGCAGAGCTTATCGAGCAAAAATCAAAGAACTGAAAGCGAAACGGAAACCTAAAGGGAAAAAGGTTTCCATGGTGCTCAAACATTTTTTACATCTTTTTTAGTCGAAGGACGATGAGATGGATTTGGCGGGTGCTGAAGATCTGGAGGATGACAATGAAGTCAATTTGGATTGGCTTCCTAAGCCTGAAGGATGGGATAGCGATGAAGAAGATGGTTTTTGCATTTTATTTGAATAACTTACAGTTAAGTTTCTAGATCTGCCTGCGGAATACCATCCGGAACTTGACGAGCTTTTGGAAAGAAAGAAGAAAAAACGAAAGGTAATGAACTTTTTACACCCTTTTATTGCTCATTGTCTAGGTCGTTGCTACGGACAAGACGAAAACGAAAAAGCGAAAGGTAATCACATCGACAGATGATGCGGAAAAAGAAGTGCTAAATTTGTTAAACCCATTCTGATCGTTTTGTTAGTTGTATTGTTATATTTCTTGTTGTTGATTTGTTATCTTATTGTTATGTTTGTTTTCTGTTTTCAATAAAGTGTTATTTCTAAACTGTCTAATTGCTATTAGCAAATTTGGCATGATGGCCCTTAACTGTTGAAAAATTTGCTGCGGAAATTTTGTGAGGTAGAGAGGCCACTCGTACCCACCAAATATTTTGCTTCTTGTTTACAGTTTTTGATTTCAAGAAATAATGCTTTTATTTTCAGGTGATGAAACTTTTGAAAAGTTCGGACGGATTCCAGAAATTTCGAGAGCGTGGAGGAAATCAGCTGAATGGACTCTTTGAGAAGAGCTGTGAACACATGAGGGATCTGGGACACAATCATGATAAAAGCGGGAATAACGCTGAAAATGTGATTCAAGAGGATTCAAATGTGGTTTTGGAGAGGAGAGCTATTTTGATGAAGGGGAACCACTTGGATCTTCTCGAAAACGAAAGGCCTATTCAAGGGATTTCAAGTTAGAAGCTGTGAAATACGCAAAAGAAACTTAGAAGCATGCTGCACAGAAAAAGTCCGGCATCACCTGTGCGATGATTCGACAATGGTGCAATAAGAAAGACCACTTGAAAGATTGGTAATTTAAAAGCTCCACCAATGGAAATCTACTTGCAATTCCCACAGGATTATCGAAACTTTTTGATGCACGCATTGACGAATCCTGTGCGGAATTGCTTGAAGAAATCGATCTGCACGAAGACGAGAATAATGAATCTGTAGACAGCGATGCTTCGATTATGGCTGCGTTCTAGAATTAAATCTGTTAAGTTTGTTGATCGTTGTTTGTTGGTAATTCTTTATCGGTATTAGTGTTTATCTTTATCGGTATTCATTGTTTGTTTACAAATTAGAAATAAATTCGTTCAAAATAATGATTTTAAATAATGGTTGATTGCCAAAGCTTTTTGAAAATTTATGAAATGTTGCAATTTTGCTTTTGTGAGTTTAGAAAAAAGGTTGAAAAATAAAAGACCTCTCTAGAGGGGAGTTGAAAAATAGAAGACCCGGATCTTCTGTTAGAGTTTTTACGGTATATGCTTACATGTTTAGGAAAATGGCGCAATACTATCCGGCTCCAAAAGTTGGGGTGGCGGAGATGCGCGACCGAAGGCTGAACAAAAATGTGGCGTATTGGCGAAGGATGCAAGTGGGTAAAATTTTGATCATTTTGAGCACTTGCTAGCTACCAAACCTTCATTTTAAGCACTTTTGCTCAAAACTACAAGTGTTTTCTTTAGCAAATCTCGGTCTTCTCGGAACCAAACCATGTTACATCCGTCGCGATCAGCCCCAAAGAGCCGCACCATATCGCTTGCACGAGCAGCGTCCGGCTCAGTCTTTATGACTCAAAATGGTTTGTTGAAGGTTTGAAGATATTAAAACGTTAATTTTTAGGTCGCAGCAAGTTACCCAGTTTAGTCGCTTTAAGCGCGCCGTTTTTGGGGCCACATTTCGGCGGGATGGAGAATTAATTGGTAAATTAACTTTCTTGATTTAAAAAAACCTTTTTGCTTCAGCAATTGGTGGCGAAGAAGGAAAACTCCGGATCTTCGACGCTTTGAGAACGACAGGAAAACAAAAGGTTTCTTTGCAAGATTTGTTTGAAACTCATTGTTTTAGGTACCATTGCGATCTCTGAAAGTGGGTGATTGTGCTCTTCATACTGTTCGCTTTTCGACTTCTGGCAAAAATGTAAAAAAGTGTTAAAGTTTTAGAAAATGACGTAAGTTTAGATTTTTTCAATGGCTGATGATGGAATGATTAAGAAGTACGAAATAATGGACACGGGGATGGAGCCTATAGTAAGCATCAAGGCAAGTTTTTGAACAAATAATACTTCTTTGGTTACAAACAGGAACTTTTATGACTTTTGATTTACAGGCTCACGATGATGTGATTCGTTGTGGAGCTGTCTCAGCGTCAAACGAGAATATTGTTATCAGTGGAGGATACGATCATAAAGTAATCTACAGTCTTTGCTTAATTTCTGCAAACTACCTATTTTAGATAAAACTTTGGGATGTTCGAGCAGACTCGAGTGCTTCAGCCTCTTTGTGAGTGAAACTTTCAACTACTGGAAACGTTATCATTTAGGACTTTGAATGCTGGAGCCCCCATAGAAAATCTCCTGTTTCTACCAAATGAGAATTTGTTGGCAAGCGCCGCTGGAAATGTTGTAAAGTATGTTTTGAAAAATTCACATCTACCCCATCTTTTGTTTCTACACATTTTATGCGTGGGTCATTTAGAATATGGGATATGCTTGCTGGTGGTCGCCTACTTACTTCAATTCAAGTAAGCCAAAACGTATCATTTTTTAAATCAACATAAATTTAGGCTCATCACAAGACAGTCACTTCGCTATGTCTTGGTGAAAATGGCAGCTCTCTTCTAACTGGAGCAATTGACCGAAGAATAAATGTGGTTCGCATCGCCGACTTCTCTATTGTAAGCTATTCGTCGTTTGAAGTGGTAAAAAGATCTAGAGCTACTCCTTTTCTGTTGCGGCACCAGTTCTTGCATTGGGAATGTCACCAAACGACGAAACGATGGCAATCGGAATGGGCAATTTGTTATCACTTTATCGAAGGTATTTCTACATTTAAAAAATTTATTTTAAAGGAAATTTGAGAGTTCCCGAGCGTCAAAACATTGTCTCATTGGACACGAGTGATAAAAAGTCGATTGTTCAATCCAACGCTCCAACGGCAACGATTCAAATGAAAGGAACGGCGAAAGAAAACATCGAATTGACTGCAAAAGCACCTGATCGGGTACCTTTCAAAATGCTTTGATCCAAAATGTAAAATAGAATTGAAACGTTCATCCTCATTCAACCTTAAACTATTGCCATTTTTAGTTATTCTTGTCCAAGTTCGATCAATTACTCAAAGCCTTCAAACATCACGATCTCGTCTCTGTTCTTTTCTCAAACAAATCGATATGGGATGATGCTGGATTGGTAAAATCCTATTGCATTGACTCCTTTAATCTGATGTCTAGGTCGTTGGAAAGTTGCGAGTGATAGCGTATCGTGGAGCGTTGAAAGCAGCATTTGCTGGGCATAAACCCGTTCGACAAATAGTAATTTGCAAGTAAGCTTTCGACATTGATTGACTAATTAAGATACATACATTTTAGATTTTTGTCGCGAAACTTATTTTTGGAGCCATATTTTGATACCCTTATTGTTGTTGCGGAAGCCGTCTTTGGTTAGTTTGCATCTTCTTCAATGAAAGTTAAAGTTTACAGAAGTCTTTTCAACCGAGGATTTGGACGAGAAAGTCATCTTTCAACTAAATCGTCTGAAAGTTGGTTGTAGCATTGGGCGTGAAATTTTATCTATCAGGACGCCGTGCAAAGAGAATTGACGGTGCAGAAACAAATCTCGCAAATGATGGGCGGTTTGGAGTTGGTGTTGAGCAGTTCGAGGATTGGGCAAAAGATGAACACGCAAAAAACATCGGAAAACTTGGTAACGTCTTCTTTTTGTAAAACAGTTTGAATAGGCGATAATTCCTAAAACAAAATAATGTAAACCAATTTTAGGAGGTCTTCGGAGAGCCAATGATATCATCGCTTCGAATGGATCTTTTGAAGCTGGACGAGGATAAAGAAGAGATTTGAGTCAAAATTCAATACCCTCGTCAACATCATTAAAGTTCTTTTTTCGTTATGCATTCCTTATTGCTAGGGTTTGTTATTTTTAACGCTTTGTTACAATTTCTTGTTATTCTTGATTGTTGTTATTGATTTGTTAAGATTGGAATAAAATTTTGTGCTATCGCAATCGGCAGTAGGCGGGACCTCGGAAAATTTGCATCTATAGGTAACGGGGCATGTTGAATCCAATAAAGATAGTTTCAGCAGCAGATTTTCACATGCTTTCAATGATTTCCTCGGTTTTTCTTCGTACATGAAATTTATGCTACAATACGCGCTTAGATATCAAAAAAAATAGCCGAAATTCAGGGCTATTTTTTGATACCAAAGACTCATTTTTTGAAAGTACGGGCGCTTTGAAAAAAATGAAATACTAAAAAACTTTTGCGACTACGCGACTGTACGAGGGGGGTGGGGCACTATTGCAGTATTTACGGTAAGTAGACTTTCCAACAGGTCGCCTGATCAATGGAAGTCCATCTAATAGAGATTCACTTTTGTTTCATCAGAAAAAATAACTTGACTTCAATCGTCACTCGTTCAACTTTCTATTTAAAACTTTCAAAATTGATATTCCGAATTTGAATCTCCATATTTTAGTCTATCAAATAGTACCAATTTTATTGTAAGCGGACAGGCCATGTTAGCCAGGTCAGGCGAAATCAAAGCCAAATCCTGGTAAAGCCTAGAATTGGTGGAAATAAACTTACCAGATTTGACAAGGTGCACAATTGAATCACTACTTTAGTAAGAAAATAGCATGGCAGGCTAGTTTCACTTGTTCCTAAAAGCCAAGATCCATGTTAGGCAGGTCAGGCGAAATCAAAGCAAAATCCTCGTAAAGCCTAAGAATTTTGGTGCAGGAATAGCCATGCTTTCACCTATTTTCACTTTCATCGTTTGTTATTGATAGATCGTTGATAGTTTTGATAGTTGATCTCTCAATAAATCGATTTCTCCAGCACTGTGCCTCAAATCTTCAAAAATCCTGATCAAATCAATAGCCCAATAATCAAAATTGTTCAATTTCTCATTTTCCATTCATTTTTTGTCCTAATCGAGCCGTTGGCACAAATTGTCTCTTCTCCCTCCTGGCCAAAAGGTGTCGAATAATGCCCGAACTGTTTCAATCGCTAAAAAAAGGAAAGATCGCTCCGGGAAAATTAATTTCTCTTCATTTTTCACTTTCAAAACCTTTTCTCTTTACCTAGTTTTCATTTTAAATTCGCTAATCTTCGAATTTGGTTTGGAAATGTCTCTTGTCGAGCGAGATTTCTCTTGCTTGAACTGCACTTGTTGCGGAAAGCTCTGTGAATTACAAAATGAACTAAAATTTCACAAAAAACTAGCTTAAATTCATTCACCGATTTACCCTTTTGATTTCGGTCGGAACGAGCCCTGAGAACGACGCATCGAGCCCTTGAAAGGAACCTCCTCGGGTACAATAGGAAAACGCAGCTCGACCAAGATTTAAGAAGTAGGGATATGCCCCACGTAGCCAGAAGAACAGACGACAGATGGACGATACGGATCACAGAGTGGCTACCACGAGACCAGAAGAGGCCCATCGAAAGACCAGCAATGAGGTGGAGCACAAGAGTGGCAGAGACGGTCAGAGAAAGGATGGCTAGAGTGCAACCACCACCAGCACAAGCAAGTCGAAGACTTCGAACCAGGAACAACCAAGATAGGAAATACTGGATGACAATAGCAAGGGATAGATAAATGTGGAAGCAGGTTGTGAGCGCAAATAGGAACACCTGAGTGCGACCTCGGTCGGCTACAACGAAAAGGTGCTCTCCTGTGAGAATCGGCGGAATCGCAACTGCTTCAATTACACTACACTTCAATTACAATCGCAACTGCCGTTTGTGGAAAGTGCATGTGAGCGCCTTTTCAACAAGAAATATTAAGCGAAAATTACTTGCCTGATAAGTTTAGGCTATTCGTTACGGCAGTAGTTCTTTGCTTTACTATTCAAATTTTCAAGCACGATCATGCGGAATCGATCCACGTCATGGACAAGCAGCGCTACATCACCGAATTCGTCGCTCGTCGTCACGACATTGAGGGTGAGTGATGAAGACCATAGAACGCTTCTGTCACAGGTAGAGTTGACTTTGCAATCGACTTGCAAATCGACTGCAATTCGTCTCAAAATCAATTGCTAGACTTGCATTAAGCTTGTCAGATCGGGCTGCAGCACAGAAAACCTTATCTACAAAGTAAACGTTTCTAAAGTTCAAAAAAGATCCATGATTTCATCAACAAGATGGAGACGAAGTTCTTTGATGGATCGATTCGTCGTGTGATGCCCGATGCCGAGGCAAGCAAGACCGAATCTGCGGTGAGTTGAGCTGGGAAAAATAGGCGAATAAGGGTTTGGCTCGAAACCTATTTTGGGTTTGTTTTAGTTCCAGTAACCGTATGGAGCACAAATAAAACAAATTTAAGCGCCGGAATCATATTTTTTTTTGGCAAGAAAACTGCAGAGCTTTACAACGTTTACTTCACGTATTAAACCCTTTCTGTGCCCGCGCTGTTTGTACACGGCGCTGTTTTGATCAGCTCCCATTAAAGTTGAGCCGCGATAGCACCTAAAATTTTATGCTTTTGAAACAAAAGCGCAAAAGACGAGTGAAAGAGAAAGGGACACAGTACTCAAAAAGAATTCACCGCTGTTCACTTTATTTGTTGCCCAGTTACCGTAGCTTTCATGAGCATCAATATCCCGACGGGAATTTGCTAGAGAGATTTTCTTATTCTCTCAATGAATCATGATCATATTGATTTTTCTCAATCATTTTCCCGCTTTTTCTGCCATTCACGATTAATTTCTTTTAGTTCGCTTCACCGATTTGTCGACCGAAGCGGATGCAGAGAAATGACTCCTCGCAACCAAGCTCTTCAATGAATCAACAGAACGGGAATGTCTCCGATCGGACACAAAGCGGACGATCGAAACTTTCAAAAGCTCAAGTGACAGGTAAACTTTTTGGGATTTTCCTTTTGTGGGAAGTAATCGCGACAGTGAGACCTTGTTTATGAGTCAAAGAAATTAGTAAAGCGGTATTAAAATATTTCTGACTCATTCCTATATTTGTACTAGATCTGTTAATTTACGTCCTACCGAATTAATATTTTTACTTTAGTTGTTTCGGGAAAGCTCGGTAAAATCTCGGACTACTACGTGGAAGTATCACTCGAAAATCCATCATCATCGAAGAAGACGGGCACTCAGAAGAAGACAAGCAACCCGGAATGGAACGAGACGATACACGTGACAATTCAAGAGTCTTCTGAAATCGTTTTCCGCGTACGAAACAAGGGAAAGATTTTCGACGATCCGCTGGTCGGCCAAGCAAAGCTGAAAATCTCGTCGATTCAACGAAGCGAAAATGGACAATGTTAGTGCTTTCACTTTAATTCACATTTTCATAAAACATTTTAGTCGCCGGTACACCGAACACTCTTCAACTGTTTGATAAAGACGGGAGTGCACCGTTGGGAACGCTAGTGGTGGTGCTAAAAGGAACACTGGAAAAGCGACGTTCTGATGGTGCGTTTGATTTTAAGTGAAATTAAGGGTTTATTTACAGTCGAACTTCGATACAACGAATTTGAAATTCTAAAACGTGCCCAAAATTTTGCGTAGCTGCTCCAGCCAAATGCAGTTAGCGGTCCCTCCAGGGCAGCTACGCAGAAAAGAAAATTTGAGGCACGTTTAGGTTCGTTATATCGAAGTTTTCGGTCCCGAGCGATTCGTTATAACGAAAAACTGTATCGGCTGATTTTAGTTCGTCGTGAAAACAGTCAAGTGGAAACAACTTCCCAACAGCCGCCGCCATCGCAACGACGGTCAGCAACTGCTTCGGGAAAAACTCGCGACACCATCATTCCATCACAACAAGCGCCGGCAAATCCGGAAGATCAACTACCTGATGGATGGGAAATGCGATTCGATCAATTTGGACGCAAATATTATGTCGATCACACAACAAAGGTATGGTGCTATCAATAAGGTCGATGATATTGTTGAGCTAAATTATAATCGTTTTATTTTTAGAGTACAACTTGGGAACGACCATCGTCAACTCCACTACCCTCTGGATGGGAGATGAGAAGAGATCCAAGAGGACGCGTCTACTATGTCGACCACAATACGAGGACCACCACTTGGCAACGCCCAACTGCGGATATGCTAGAAGCGCACGAACAATGGCAATCGGGCAGAGATCAAGCCATGCACCAATGGGAGCAAAGGTTTTTGTTGCAGGTGCGTTTTTTCACATGGTTTAACGAGATATTGAGTTGAAGCGGATCTATTTTGTGTTTTAGAATAACGCTAATGCGTCGGATGATCCACTGGGACCAATGCCTGAAGGATGGGAAAAACGAGCAGACCCTGGCACTGGTAGAACCTACTTTGTCAACCATGTTAATAGAACAACGCAGTGGGAAGACCCACGGACTCAAGGGTTTGTTAATGGCGTTTGTTTTTTTTGCATACTTTTATTTTTAGTGGCGCCACCGATCAACCATTGCCCGAGGGATGGGAGATGCGTTTCACGGAGCACGGAGTGCCGTTCTTCATCGACCACAATACAAAGACGACTACCTACAATGATCCGCGCACAGGAAAGCCTCTCGGACCGCTCAATGTTTATGGGTTATCGGTAGCCTATGAGAAGAGCTTCCGATGGAAAATTGCTCAATTCCGCTACTTGTGCTTGGTAAGTTCAGCGATCTCAACGTTATTAAATTTGTGCCAATTTAGTCAAATGGAGTGCCGAATCATGTCAAAATTACGGTTAGCCGAGGAACGGTCTTCGAAGATTCTTTCCAAGAGATGTGAGTTTTGTACAATAAATGTATATTTAATAAATTTTAGTATGCGCAAGAATCCCGTTGATTTGCGGCGACGTCTCTACATTCAATTCCGAGGAGAAGAAGGCTTGGATTATGGAGGAGTTGCTAGGTGAGTGCTTTAGCCCAATATTGGTCAAAAGAATCCTTGGATTTAGGGAATGGTTCTTCCTGTTGTCTCATGAAGTGTTAAATCCAATGTATTGTCTCTTCATGTATGGTAAGTTTCAACTTTGGATTGCTTGTTTACATTTTTTATTTAGCCGGAAATAGCAACTACAGTCTGCAAATTAACCCAGCCTCCTTCATCAACCCAGATCACTTAAAGTACTTCGAGTTTATTGGACGCTTTATAGCTATGGTTGGTATCTTTATTTTACTCGTAATGTTATTTTATTTAGGCTTTATTCCACGGGAAGTTTATCTATAGCGGTTTCACGATGCCATTTTACAAGAAGATGCTGAGCAAAAAGATTGTTCTCAAAGATCTCGAATCAGTGGACAACGAATTCTATAACTCAATCGTCTGGATCAGCCAGAACAATATCGACGAATGTCAGATGGATCTCTACTTCGTCGCCGACTACGAGCTATTGGGCGAATTGAAGACACATGAATTGAAGCCAGGGGGTACCGATATTCCAGTAACAGAAGCTAACAAGGTATGTTGTTTTCAATTTAAACCCCACTTAAGCACTCAAATTTAGGAGGAATACATCGAGTTGCTCGTCGAGTGGAGATTCAACCGTGGCGTCGAACAACAGACGAAAGCGTTTTTCAAAGGTTTTACTTCGGTCTTCCCATTGGAATGGTTGCAATACTTCGATGAACGGGAACTGGAACTACTCCTCTGCGGCATGCAAGATATTGACGTCGACGATTGGCAAAGACATACTGTCTATAGACACTATGCACCCCAAAGTAAACAGGTAAAAGTTTCTTTACTAGAAAATTTTAAAATTTGTTTTAGGTCACCTGGTTCTGGGAATGGGTTCGATCGTTGGATCAAGAGAAGCGTGCGCGTTTGCTGCAATTTGTCACGGGTACATGTCGGGTGCCGGTCGGAGGATTTTCTGAGCTAATTGGTAGCACCGGACCACAGGTAATTTAATGAGATTAGGGCTAGCCATAACTCTCAAGTGATTATGAATCAAATACAACCATGAATGTTTAGCTCTTCTGCATCGAACGAGTGGGAAAGGAAAATTGGTTGCCGCGATCGCACACCTGCTTCAACAGGTTGAACCTTTTTTCTTTTTTTTTTCTAACGGATAAATTTCAGGCTTGATCTCCCACCTTATCGAAGCTACCAGCAACTGGCAGAAAAGCTCAGCCTCGCCATCGAAATGACCGAGGGATTTGGAAATGAATAAAACTAATTTACTGCTTTCCCTACGTGTAGTTTCTTGTGCTTATTCCCTTTTGCTATGTTTTATTTTCGTTGAATGCTGTGATAATTTTGTGATTTCATGTAAAGTTTGTACCTAGGCACTTTCGCCATCATTAGAGAGAATTTCCTACCAAAATGTAAGTGTAGATATCTTTTGGTTGTGATAGGCCGGTAAAAGCCTTTCTATGTTTTGCACTGCATCAAATAAACTTACTAGCGATTTTTGTTTTAATTTTTTTGGACGCAAATCCATTTAATCGATTACATTTGAAAACTTCTTGATTTTTTAACCTGTTTGATACTTTTTAATATCAAAGTTCAGGTACTAGGTCTTCAATATGGTCGCTAAGGCAAAGGCTGAGAAAGCAGAGAAGGTCGAGACGAAAAAGGAGGAACTCGAGAAAAAGGTAATGGTTTGGCTTCTAAAAAATTTATGTAAATCAGACTTGTGACATTTTATGAAATGGTTTTCAATTTAGGTGACTACCGAAGAATCTGGAGATTCATCTGATGAGGAGAATGTTCCCGAGCTCGATGGCGAGGAACTGACTGAGGAGCAAAAGAAAGTCGCCGAGGCTTTGGGAGAGCCTGTTGACAAGGCCGGGAAGCAAAGCCGATCGGAGAAAAAGGTGTGTCGATATTTTTGCACTAGCTTTAATTATTACAATTGTTCTAGGCTCGCAAACTCTTCTCGAAGCTCGGACTCAAGCCGGTGCACGGTGTTTCTCGTGTGTGCATCCGCAAGTCGAAGAACATCCTCTTCGTCATCAACAAACCCGACGTATACAAGAGCCCCGGATCGGACACCTACATCGTCTTCGGAGAAGCCAAGATTGAGGATCTCTCGCAACACGCAGTCGGACACGCCCTTGACCGCATCAAGCCTGATGATGCTCCAACAACTCGACTCCCACCAGTTCAGGTAAAATGTTTACGATTGTTAGTAGAAATTAACTTTTATTGAGGATTGAGAGGTTAATTTTAAAGAAAAAGCTTTATCTTTTAATTTTAGGAGGACGAAGATGATGGTGCTGACGAGGACCCAGGCAACATCGAGGACAAGGATATCGAATTGGTGATGTCCCAAGCGAACGTCTCCCGCAACAAAGCCATACGAGCCCTCAAACAGTCCGACAATGACATTGTTAATGCCATTATGAGTCTCACAATGTAGTAGATTTGATCAATTTTTAATTCAGTTGTTAAGCGGCTGCCTTTGTTTACTTTTCTTGTTCTCGTTCTCGTTGTTTGCTTTTGATAAAGTTTTACAAAGATAAGTGCAACAAATCAGGCACAGTATTGTCCTTGTGGAAGAAAAAAGATCGAAGATTTATCTAATAAGGGTACTGTAAACTCACTATTAGATGCAACAATGAGAGAGGGTCTAGTACTAATGGAAAGTTGCGCTTTGCGCTTTTTAAAGCTTCAAAAGTTGGATTATGTCACTTTCTCTAGAAACCTCCTCCGGGCATAACTTCTAATCCACCCACTGTTAGATATCATTGCACAACTAGGTCTCTTGTTTTTAACAATTAACATTTTTAATCAACCACTTTAACAAAAATGATTATCCAAGTAAAAATAACAATCTGCACAACAATAAATGGCAAGTCGAAATGAAAATGCACAAAATATCACTAAACAACAACAATAACGATTATCTAAACTCTCCTTTTTCATTGTTTCATGCAGTGTGACTCGCTTGGGGCACAGGCGGAGGGCCAACAACCTAAAGTCATAATCCTTATCAACACATTATTGTGGTTCTCACCTTTATTGCCGAAACGATACATCCACCGACTACCATTTGGCTCATCAAAGGATGCGTCCGTTGTGGTAAAACCTAAAAAAGCTAGTTTTTGCCACAATCTCAGATAACTTGAAGCTTACCTGATGAATTCGAAACATTTGTTCCTGGATTTGAATGTTGACGGCTCCTTTTGCTCGTAGCCAAGATTGTGCTAACACCATCGACTAAATATAATATCAAAATAGTTAAAAATATTCCGAATACCTGCTGATTCGGGCTGTAAATGACAACTGTTCCACATGGACGCAAACTCTCGTACAAAAACTCGAGAAGTGAGACCGGATCTAAAAAAAATAGAACAAAGGTCAATCTTCCAATAATAACTTTACGTTTGTTCATCAAAATCACCCACCAACTGTTCTCGTTGAAATAAGAAGCGCATCATAACCGTTGCACAATTGCGCATACGCCATTCTCTGTTGTGATGACCTCTCGGCTCGTTTTTCAATATTGATCATCACCGTCGACTCCTCTTCTTTCTCTTCATCTCTCTAAAATATACAAATGGCTTGGGTTGAATCATATCATAAACTAACACTATAGTGATATGATACTTATAAACAATATCAAAACTATTAGTCAAAGAAAAACCGACTTGATTTAACAAATTCTCACTCACAATCGAATCAGAAGTTTCCTGTTTTGGCATTCCGGGAGGAATTTCTCGATCTTCTCGTGGGATACCGTCATTCAGAAGAGTGTCAATCCGGAGTGAGTGCAATGTGCCCATCACCTAAAAGACCTTGTTTTGCTTTTACTGGTTGGATTGGGTTACCAAGTTAGTAGGCAGGTATTAAGGTTTTCCAAACCCAGGCGGGAAGTGACAAGTGAAAAAAAAACATGGCGAACTTTTTGGATGATACATACCTGGCTTGAGAAATTCATCGCTTGGACGCACGGAATGCCTTGAGCTTGAAGTCCTCGATGCAAATAAATCATACTTCCACGACCGCCCAACCGTTCGAGCACCTAAATTCCATAGTTTGTTGTAAATAGTGAAATACCGTGAAGCGAAAGTAAATGAAATACCGCTGACGCTAGAATCCCGCACGATTGCTCAAACATGACGACTCGTTTTCCTGAATGAACTCCGGCCAATTGTAGGATGAGTCCGAGCTGATCCCATCTAAAACTTTTCTAAAGGATCAACTTATCACCCAAACCTCAAATTCCCGATTCGATCCGCGTCCTTTTTATAGTAGCTTTCACATAGGAGACGAACGGTTGGACGGAGAACAAAAATTCGATCCGAATGTTTTCTGGCTTTCCTGGAAATCGTTGATAAAATTTATAAAACAACAAAATGAAACCCACTTTCTTATGTATTTGCTCTTCGCGTATTCTGTCCGATTATGGAATGTTTGACTCCCTTCGACAAGCTTTGCAACCTAAATGAATAGCTAGATAATTTAGTACTTTTATGATACCAATTCAGAAGCGCTGGCACCTTTTCTTTTCATCTCGTCAATTTCTTCTTCCGAGTATTTCTGACGAGCCTAAAATGAAACATTTAAAAGTGATTATAAATAAGATTATTCACCTGAGCATCATTTAGAGCAGCTTGATCACTTGATGGAGCGTATTGGGGTGCTTCAGTGGAAGAATTCTCAACCTGTGCATCTAAAAAAAACAATCTCATTTGTTAGAACCGCAAGAATTACCAATATCCACAGTCCCGTCTGCGAGAAGTTTCGCAAACGAAATTGGTGCCGGGATGCCGGAATTGATCTCGAAAAGACCAAACGGTTGACCGATCAAAGCGTCAGTCTAAAATACACTTCTTGTAATCGGTTTGCTGATAAATAGCCCCCAAAAAACAATTAGAGATTAGTAATTAACTTACATTCACTTTGAGCTTCTCGATGAGGAGATTTTGCTTGGGAAGAATGCGCATCGATCGAATTTGCTCACCGCCTTGCTTGCAGATAATCGCATACTGACCCTGAAAAGAAAGTGTACAATAACAAGATCTTTCAGTCTAAAGTTATTAGCTTTCTTTAAAAATTAGTTCTATTTAAATTTAAATGATCAGGCATCATAGAATCATCCTATGAGAGATGTATCCACCCTATGCTCTCCACGTAAAATCGGTGCTTTACGGACAACGGCGGGAATAGCGATCATCGGCGGGATAAGGGAAAATGCATGATATTCAACTAATTCAACCAAATATTTTAGATATTTTTTAAACAATTTAGAGATTTCTTCAAATTATGGTGTTCTTATCATCAACGCTTTATTGAATACATTAGTCGATCAATAGATTAGCCAAATTGTGTGCATGACGATTGGCGGCGGGAATAGCGATTAGCGGCAGGATAAGGAAACATGCATGATATTCAGCCATTTAGCTGAATTGTGGGCATGGCTTTTGCGCGTTTAAACTGTATTTCTACTGTTCGGCTGATATATTTCATGGTTGTGAGGATATTGAGCGTTTAAACTGTTTTTAAAACTACCGTAAACTAAAGTATGTATTTAATACGTTTATTATGCGTTACTGTGTTTGTTAATCTACTGATGTATTCAATAAAGCGTCCAAGATTTGAAGAAATGAAAAAAGAAAACAACACAATTTGAAGAAATATCTAAAATGGATAAATCATTGGCTGAATATCATGCATTTTCCCTTATCCCGCCGCTAACCGTAAAGATCCGTAAAATCTTATAGAGTTATCTTTTAGTACTCCAACAGAATCGATTTGATAACGGACTCACTTGAATAATCGTTCCATTGTCTTCCGATGGATCCGCGAAATTCGATGTGCTCGCCATCACTAAACAGAAAATGTAGCTTTTAAGCAAAAAACGAGAAATAACAAAAAAGTAACAAAATCGACGCTTAGAGCACATACTAAAACTTTGAAACTTTGAAAATCAAACGAGCAACTTGCAACAATAGTTATAAATTTTTTTCTTCTAAAACAAAATCTTCAGCTATTCATTTGTAGCGTTCAATAGATTCAATATAAAATTAATATAAACTTTGAGTACACTTCAATACTCTTTCTTTACGTTGGAGAAAAGCGCCACTTTCAAATTTTCATCTTCATCTTATTCTCTTCTTTTTAACTTTTGAGTTCTCGTTTTCATCTTTTATTTTGAAAACTATTAATTTCTTTTTCATTCAGGTGAAGATGAGCAATGGCAACTTCCCGGATCTCGACCTAAGCGAGGAGTTCTTGAGTGTCGACGACCCACAAAGCTCTGATGGTGGGTAACTAGAATTACGGAGTTTTACAAGCTTTACAAGCTTACCGTTATTTAGTGAGTAAGTGGATTGCTAGCGTGTATAATCGACGCCAAAGATTACTTATAGTTAGTAGGTAGTTTTCATCGGTAAGCGTAGCGGATGGAGGTGATCTGGATGATGCCGATTTGCTGTAAGGCTCAGGCTCAAGCTCAGGATTTTGATTTGGACGCTAAAACCATTTTAATTTGTTTTCTTTTAGATAACCGAGGCAAAGAGGGCGCTTATGGGCTGAAGCCGAATCTCTGGCCGATTCCCGAATTACCTGAAGACAGAACCGAGGCGGAAATCAGTTAGTGACAAATTTACAAATAGCAATAAATCACTAACAACTCTGCTCTACAATATTTTGTTTTAGGTAAACATCATGCTGCCGAAGTTTTTGAGGACGAGGATCAAGGATGTCACGACGCCTCACTTTTTGACAATGAGGATCAAGGACCGTTCAATAACCCAGGTAAATTTTTAAATTTTGCTCTTTATTCATTTTTATTTAGATGGACAACGGTTTAATCAAGGCGAGGAAACGTACAGTGAAGACTTTGCGACTGGAAGTTTGCACTTGCAGTTCATAACTGTTTATGTTTCATTTAGGCGAAGCACAGGAACGACTCGGTACGTACGAGGACTTCTCAAAGAACAACAAAATCATCCAGGACGATCCACGGTAAGATAAATCTGTAATTCGTGTAAAAATGATTTTAGATTCAATCAGTCGCACCAGGAAAAAGAAAATTCCTGGGAACCGACACCGCACAAAATTAGTCTCTATGGACAGGTAATTTAATGGTGTATTTTTTTCGAAATATTTTAAATCTGTTGATTTAGGTAACACCTGAAAAGCATCCTAACGGATCAAAGCCAGATGGACGAATACAAAATGATTTCGCCACGCCAAAAAGTGCTTTCCCTTCGCGACTCGCTGCACCACAAACAAAGGTAGTTGTAATTTTTTTAAAGCTAGTTTAAATTTTAATTTTTCCAGAATGTTTCACCGGTGTCCGGTCTGCGCAAATCGCAAATCTTCTCTCCGGATTTATCGATTGTCAACAAGATTATGTCAACACCGCAGAGTAAGCCTAGCTCTTTAAATGACATTCAAGTATAATTTAGCTGTTGTGAATGGACGGCGGATGGATAGGCACTCGTTGAAGACAAATCTAGAGCAACAATTTTGTAATGTTGGTTGTTTGACTAATGACTTTGCCAAATGTGAAGGCAGATAATATATGATGCATTTAAGGTATCAGCAATTCCATGTCAACGGCTGGATGACGATCTACCGGGCCCATCGTACAATGCGACGGCAGCTCACTCGACTTTCGGATCAATGAATGAATCAAAAATGGATCGACTCATTAAAATATGTTGACATTTTAATTTAGACAATGTTTTGATTTAGAATACGTCAATGAACACTTCGATGAGTGAAATTGACGTTTTGATTCAGAACATGCGCAAGAGGGAGCCACGAAAAAAGGTGAACGGCAGCCTTTTGATAGCTAATCAGCATTTGTTTAGGTGGACTTTAGGGAGGATATAACGAATCGACATTCAAAGACCGTTACGTCGATGTGAGTGACTTTACATAAACCGCTAACTTCTAATTTTAGGAATCATGTTGAGCCTCAACGTCGCCCCATTGAAACGCAAAGCGCAAGTGCTCCACGACATATACCAAGGGACTTTGACACAAGAAGTGCAAGTGCCCCGAAGCGAATTCTCCAAGAAACGAATGATTTGAACATTTTGCATCGGAAAATTGTCGAAGATAAGCCGATTGTGCAGACAACTAAATTATCAAGGTAATTTTCAAATCCCTGAATATTTTGCAGTAGCGGCTCTTTTTAGAGATCCATCTCTGGCATCAACTTATTCAACTACGACTGAAACAAGCACGACGAAGCACGCGTTGAACATTAAGCCGAGCACTTTACAATTTGGATTCGTGGAAGTTAACACGGCTGTCACTTTGAGGTTCGTTTTGAGGAGAAATGATCCCTGTCCAACAAACTTGCATATGTTATTTGTTTGTTTAGAGTTACCATCAGAAACACTTCCAAGGAAAGCATTGAAATCGATCCAAGTCTGAAAAGGAACACACCTGAATTCAAGGTATGTATCGAATTGATGACTAAGGCAACCTGGTTTAGTTGAGCAGTGTGAAACGCATTCTGCATGCTGGTGAAACGTATGATTTGGAAGTCACTTTCAATCCCGTGGGAAAAGATGGCCAAATGGGAAATCGTTCGGTTTTCTACGATTCTATCCTTATCAAAACCCCACGATCAATTGATTCATTTAAAGTAAGTTTTTGCCTAGCTTTAATTTATACAGCTTAATTTTAGATTCCCGTGCATGCTTGTGCAAAAGTGGCTCAGCTGGCTATCTTTGCTGGACAAACGCCACTGAATATGCGAAAGAATGGGGATTTCATCCTTAAAGTTGCCAATTTGGAGCAATTCTCGCTTACACTACAAGCAACTCAAAGGTTTCTTCGTAAATTTGCACTTAAATTTTTAATATTTTTAGAGCCGCTTTTGCTGTCATTGATGTCATTGATGTATTGGAAAATCCTCTTGAATGCCAGGTCAATCCATCAAAGAGGATATTGTTGCAGAAAAATCAGAGACAAGTAAGTGCTATTGTTGAATTGACTACATTTTTCTTTAGAATGTTCATGTGATGATAAATGATACGATTCGAGCTACTTCATCACTTTCAAACTCGAGAAGTTCCATCAATACGTGTTCAAAGTGAATTTTGTTGGAATTGCCATTATGTATTTGTGTTACAGTGGGCCGGCTTTCTTTGTGCGAATTGTTTGGGCGGAATTGATTTCGCTGCAACGAGCAATAATTTATGCTAGAAAAAAGAGGTATGGTTTGAAAGAGTCAACTAATTTGTTTTAATTGTCACTTTATTTCTTTGAATCTTATCATTTTAGCAAAACCATTGTTCTTGAGGGCAGCATTGGAAATATTCAAGAAGAGTTCTTTGGAAAGGCGACTCCATATGAAGCGCCAATTGAATGGGTAAGTTAAACTTGCTAAACCATAATGAATAATATTTAGCCAATTTCAAGCTGCGATGTTGAACTACTGAAGCGTTCACTTAGGTCAACAAAGATCTTTGTAAGCTTTGGTGGCGATTGCTGGGTCAATTTTTAAATTTTTTAGGTTAGCACTGATAGAATTGTTGCTCAGACAGAGTCAGTCATCGATCTCACCATTGATCAGACGGCTCGACCACGGGATTTTGATGAAACTTTCAACTCGACATTTGTGAGAACGGTAAGCTTTCGATGCTTTAGTACTTTAACTGTTTAATTTGCGAGAGTCTTTTCAATTATCCTTGTCTTTTAGATAATTCCTGACCCAGATGCCACGCTAACACCAAAGGATGGATTTACCACTCGGCTCTTCAAATAATCTAGTGGTATTAATTGTGTTCGTTACATGATTCTTGGGAGTAAAAGTTCAGTTTGTTGTTTTATTTAGTTCTACTATTTCACTTATTTAAATTCTTTTCTTCGTGTCCTTTGAAATAATCTATGTCTAGTTCAGTTCTTATTGTAAATTTCGTTTTATTTGTGAATATGTATGTAAGTGCATAGCATTTAAGGCCTTTTTTGTGTTCTAGCAGAATATTTTAGAATAAATACATACGCTTTGCAGGGTAAATGAGAACCTAGAGTTGGATAAGGGGTTTTGATTTGATGGAAAAAAGCTGGTTGCAATGCTCGAACATGTAAATGTTGGTCCAACGGTTAGACTGTGGTAGACTACAATCCCAGTTACACAAACGAAATTTGGTCTGAGTTTGGAATTTGCTTTTGAAACGCAGCTTGGGTAGAAATGGTAACTTTTGATTATTTTTTAAAATGTATCTCATTCGTTTATTTGTGAACGTTTTAGGTATTTATTCCGACCCCTTTCGTCATGAAATATTGATTGTGAGGCGGCATTTTCAAAAAAACGCCAGGGTCGCCGAAGCTCTAATGCGCGGTGATGGAAGGGGGAATTGGAGAGGGCAAAAGAGGAGTGTTTGCTTTTGTCGGAAAGAAGGGAGAGGCCCTTGGTCAACCCCTTCCAGTGTCCCTCTTATTCCCTTCTTCATAGGGGGTTCTTCTATATGTGGATACTCTATACACCCCTTCTTTTCACTCCCCTTCGTTCTCTACTCTGTCTTCTTATCCTTCTTATTTTTCTCCATTTTTTCACAAAGCCCTTCTTTATTAAATCTCCCGCGTTTCTGCTTTATCTTCAGCTATCTTCGTACTCTAGTTGACTTTTGAAGTAAAAGTATTTGATCAACAAAAATTCATTTTTAAGTCGGAGTCTCCGGTGACTAATCCTCAAAAAAAAGTAGTTTCTGGATTCATCTTTATCTCAATTTTTGTCTCCATTTCGTCTTCTGCATGTCTTCACTGCGTCTTCACCCCAACAGCCTCTACATCTATACTTTGTCTAATTTTCTACTTCTTCACATAGTTCTCGAATTGCTATTCAATCGACCTTTCCCTTCTCTCTCCTCTTCACCTTTGCCCTTTTCAGAAACTCTTCATCTTCATCTATCTCTTTTTCCAATCCACTTCAGTGCTCCCTCCTTCGCGCTTTTTGATGAAAATTGCTTTCGTTATTTGTTCTTTCTTTCTTTTTGCAATTTTTGCGATTCTTTTTTTGTTATTAGTTTATTTGGCTTGGGTTCAGCTTGGAAATACGATAGCTTTCCTTTCAAACTTTTTGTGTTATCGTAATTATTCTAATAGAAGCAACCCCCCGCCCCGATAGTGACGGTGTATTGCCGCGTAGTCTAACTTTACATGCTCCGTTCTCTGTGCTGATTTATTCTACAATGCGCGCTTGAATGTCAAACGATAGCTGTTCTTTTTTCTGAACCAAGTACAGGTTTTGAGTGTTTAGGTGTGATTTTCTCAAATAACGCGTCTAGAACGTGTCAACTTTTAGAGAATACGTTAAATTTGGAAAATACGAGCATAAGAGACGCCAGATTATGATAGTTTTCAAAAATGGACACATTTTAGAGATGAAAAGCACACTATTTCCCATCAGTCGTCAGTAGTTTTGATATGTGAAGTGATAGCTGGCTATCTGGCTATCAATTGCTTGCTTGCTGGCTGGCCATCAATTGCTTGCTGACTATCTGCCTATCAATTGCCTGCTGGCTGGCTCGCTGCAGTATTTCTCTACTTCTTTACTTATTTTTTGTTATCTGAAGGCCTGTGTTTTCATTCTGTTTTTCAAACGTTTCCCCCAAGCTGACTCATCACTTTGTTTACAGTTTGAAAAAGGAAATCGATCCGATTCGGTCATTTCTGTCAATCATTTCAAAAAAAGACTTTCCCATTCGGTTCTATAAGCGGATCGTTTTTGCATTTTTTGAGATTTATCACAGTTTGCGCCTTTAAATGATTGCTATAAGTGTTCTCTCTCATTTCCATGTCCATTTCATTTTCCCCTTTTCTCTCATTTCACCATCTCTCTTCGTATTTCATCGCCCACACAACGCGGCGATTTGATGCGTCGCGGTCGCTGGGCCGCATGATTTCACTCAGAATCATTCAAACGCTTTTATTCCTTAACAATTTGATTCCTTAACAATTTGATTTCTTAACAATTTGATTCCTTAACAATTTTACTTCTTAACAATTTTATTTCTGAATGATTTTATTTCTTAGCACCTATATTGTTTGATAAAAATTATTAAAACCAATTTGTTCTAACTAATTTGTTCTGTATTACGAATGTGCTTTTCCTTTGAATTCACTAGACGTTGCTAGACCTGCACGCTTTTGCTTGAATGAATAACAAAACAGTTTTATTTAGAAGTTGCTATAAGCGTTCTCTCCCATTTTTCAATACACGTGGGGCAAAGCGTGTGTAAATGTTTTAACGAAGCTCAAAGGTGAACACATTGTTTGACGAAAGTCAAACAACGTGTTCACCCAAAGAAAAAAAAAGAAATCATTTTAATGAAAATTCTGAAATTATCTCGAACAAAAGAAGACAGAAAGATAAAGAGAAAAAGCCAATAAGACAAAATAAGAGAAATTTTGACTAAATGGGGAAGAAAGCGTTCTTTTATATGTGTGTAAGCGCGACATTGTTTAGGGTACGGTATTTCTGGTGTCTTCTTAGAGCTTATGCTTTAACTTTTTGGTGACTCACACAAACTTCGGCTACATTTGTAAGTCTCAGCCACAGAATTTTTAGAGTTAGAGTTATGAATAGACTCTTATCAAGTCACTTTTCCCAAATTGTTAATCCTTTTCCATCATCTAACTGGTGTTGGCTTTATTACAAGACTTTACTCAAATACTTTACTGTACTTTTCTAGCAACATCAATACGCCTATATCTACTCAAAATTTACTCGAAAGTACTTGCTTAAAAACTTGAAGAAGACTTTCTTGGCATTCCAAATTGCTATCAAATAATATCGAACATATTTCTTCGAAATATGTTCGATATTATTTAACGGCTTCGATAACGGGGGTTTGCGCCAACATTTTGGTTAAGATCTTGACTGATACTGGCAAGATTGAGTGCGGTTGGATTCAAACATAGATTTCTCATCAATCGATCGACACTTTCCTTTATTCTCTAGGTTTCTAATCGATACTCTTCCTTAAAGAACATAAATTTTCGAGCGATCGGCCTTTCCTTTATCCTCACGTCCTTTTGGGTTGGAGCTGGGCTTCGAGCCCGCGCTTACCGGGTGAAAGCTCTACCAATGAGCTACACCAACGCATGTCCCATAGCTGTCAGGGTATGCCTTATTCTCTCATTAAAAGCTAATGTGATTCAGAGTACATCTTTTCCCTTTCTTGGCCCTTCCTTTTCCTCTCTTAGCTCTTTTCCCTCTCTTATCCCTAACCTAGATTCATCCCTAGTGGGATTATCGATAAATCCTTCATTCAAGAACACTTCTTGACGTTCATATTTGGGGCATTCGCTTCATCTGCAATTTCATTTCATTTCATCTAAACTTGATTCTAACTCGAACTTGTCAGATCTTCGTCTAAAATGTCTCCACTTCCCAAACTTCAATCTCATATCCCACACCATCGAGTGGATGCATTGTGGGATTCGAATGCCGATAAATATCGTGTCGCGTGTCGATCGGTTCATGTAACAAAGGTTTGTTCAAGAAATTAAAGGCTTTTTCAGGGAAAAATTTTTGCGCACCATACTTAAATGCACTAAGCTTCCGTAACCCTCCAATTTTTCTTTTTTTTGGCAATTAGCCGATTTTGTTAACGTATTTTTTTCATCAACGTAAAATCAACATCAACAACAACTTAAAACTTCTATGAGCTTAAAATTGTACGACATTAGTTGCACATAAGGAAACGCACGAATAAGCAAACTTAATATAATTAAGCTTATTAAATGTGTGATAAAATCGACCTGATGAATGACCAATGTGTTTCCAATGTGGAGTCGTCCCTCATCAACATCAACATTAGTCGACGACAACATCAACATCAACAACAACATCAACATTAGTCAACATCAACATCAACATGCATTAGTCGTCCATCACCCTGTAAAAATCCTTCTAACAAAGCGATCTGTTCAAAAAATATCTAAAATAAACTTAACTTTGGTTCCAGATGTCGAGCTGATGAAAAAACATAAAAATAATGATGAAAAATAGTAAAAAAACAAAGAAATTGGCTAATTGGCAAAAAAAGACAAATTGGAGGGTTACGGTAGTTTAGTGCATTTTAGTGTAGTGCGCAAAAATTTCTCTAAAAAAGTCAGAATAGCATCAGCTTTATTAGCATCAGCTCATTCTTTTCATTCTTTCTTTTCAAATCATTCTTTTCCAGGGCACTCTCTACATTGGATATGCCCAAATGGCGATTATCACCGTTTTCTCGTTGTGTCTTTTGTTCTTCTACGGACAAGCATTGCATGTAAGCGAAATTTGATTTTTTTAGATTTTAAAAGACTGTAAAGTATCAGTACTTTAGCTCACTACAGTAAATACAGTCGACTCTCGATATAATGACTTTCGAAACAGCGATTTTCTCGATATAATGATTCAGAGCCGAGCTGCTAATAAAATCTTAGGATTCATCTTTCGATATAACGACTTTCACGAAATCACTATTCCAAAAAATGAAAATTTAGTCTGTATCATGTATTTTCACTCTCGATACAACGATTTCAAAAATTTTTTTGACTTTTGCAGGGAAATCTTCCCACAGAACACTGGGCTGCCGCGGCGGGATCTCGTTATTTAACCTCTCTCCTCACGGCTGTTTCCCTCCAAATGGCGCTCGTTTTGATGTTACTTCACGGTGTTCGCACGGAGAAGAGGCGAGTTTTATGGACAAGCAACCAATTAGCTGTTTTGGAAACTGAATACCGTATTTTCGCTAATCGTAGTGCACCTTGAGTGTCGCCTAAATTGCTCGAAATTTCGAGAACCGCTCGAGAACCTATCGAATCAGAACCTATCGATGTGGGGTGGGAAAATGTAGCTGAAGATTAGATCTAGTGGGGGATTTGAGTGTTGAGCTTCTGCAAAAGCTTGGAAACCGTAAAATAATCACCAACTCGGCTCGCCGGGGTGCACTACTATTAGAGAAAATACGGTATCATCAAAAATAGAGAATTTTGAGTATGCTAGAAGACAAATGTTTACGCATAGTGTCTACGGTCTCGGTAAGGTCGTAGGAGTACTGTAACTGTTACAGTAGTAGAGTGATATACTTTACAATAGTACATTTTAAAGCTACAGTGACACTTCGCAAAGAGTACAGACATTTAGAATCTAAGGTACCATTCGAAGAATCCAATTCAATTGTGAACTTGCCCCTTTTTCCAGATCTTTCCTCCTTCCATTCATCGTTTTTGCCTGTTTCGCTCTTTTCGTCGCCTTTGCACAGGTGGGTACTAAAACTGTACTTTATACTAAAAAGTACTATCCACTACTATACACAAGATTACAAGAGAAATTCAGATTTTCGCTGACGTGATGGCTGCATCACAGCACCGAGGCGGTGGATCTGTTTACCAATTGATCTCACATTTGATTGGAATGATGGTTCATGTTTGGTGTGTGGCTGTTGTGTGGAGATGCTATTGCTATCTCGGAGACAAAAAGGTAAAGAATTCGAAGTTTTGGAGGGAAATTAGTTAAGATAAATGTACTGTAGTTTTAGAAGGATTACTGTAACTGTAATACTGCAGAAAGTTGAGGCATTACGAGAAGGGATACTATAAGAGATAAGCTGGTTAGCAAGAAGAAGAGGAAATACCCTGGAAGGACTAGTGTAGAGCTACAATACTACTATTACTACTACTAGAGTACGAACGTTATAGATATAATAGTAATAAAGTAAAGATCAGAATTTGGAACTGAGGGGGAATCAAGCCCTCGACCTTCTGCTTATCGGACAGATGGTTTACCATTGAGCTATCGACGCCTTCTTTCCCTAAGAAGAGATAGGAAAGACAAGAAAGAAAGGAAGAAAGGAAGAAAGAAAGGAAGAAAGAAAGAAAGAAAGAAAGTAAGAAAGAGAGGAAAATAGTACGCCAGTCTACTCTTGACTGAGATGCGTCCTTTTCAACTAATTCATTTTCTAAACCGTGCTCCACTTCTCTTTCTACCGTAATCTTGTCTCTATTTTTATCGAATCTATTCACTTTTTATTTTTCGATTTGTCACAGAATTAAACAAAAAGTAGATAGATTTGATAAGAAATAGAGACAAGAGTACAGTAGAAAGAGAAAGGACACAGTTTAGGAAACGGATTGGCTAAATGAGTATCAAACTATTTGTAAACGAGCTTTCAGGTGGCTGAACACATTGGTGCCCAATTGGAGGCAACGCAGCCAGCTTTTGCCTGTGAATATTCTCTTCCTCCGCCATACGCTGACAGTGTTGAGAAGCGTCCACTCACTATTGCATAAATGGAAATTAAGATTTATTCAAATGAAAAGCTGAAAAATTAGCGCTACAGTACTTTTCATGTTATTAGTTGAATATCTTTTGTCGCAAGTCGTAGTGAAACGAGTACTGTAATTCATTTAAAGCAGTACTGTAAAAGCAGTATTGCAGCATTCGTTCGTTACTGTATTCCTTCAAAAAGTATTACGGTAGTACATAAGTACCACTGGACTACTCAAACTAATTGAGCGACTTTCACTTGCAAATTCATAGGGATACGGTATTGAGAGCGAATTGAAAAGATATTCAGCTAATAGCCGTAGAAAAGATACTGCAAAAGCTATCGTTTCAGCCTCAAAATTATCCAACTTTTGTGCTAATTTTTTTGATGAATTTTAGTTTCCTCCATCGAGATGGTCTCTTTTTAAACTAAAATTTCCCTTAACCATTTTATTTTGAAACGTTTTTTTTTGTTCACCAATTGATCCTCAGAATTTGTGTCGTCATTTTTCTAGTTACTTACCGCATATAAATACACAAAGTTGTTCTATTCATTCGGGTTTTACCTTTCGAAAAAAAATCTGTTAGTTCAATATGTGTGTTATCTTTTTTTTTGTAGTTATTTCTGAATAAATGTAGCGAATCGTTTAAGTGAAGAAACGCGTTTAAAAAACAGAATTTACAGTTTTGCACTTTTTTTCGACAATGTGGTCCCCCACATGAGTCAAAATCTCAAAAAAAAAAATTTTTTTGATTTGTTTTGCCTCTACTAGTCAATTTAAGTTAGAAAATGAACATTTAGTGGTTAAAAAAATGGTTTTCGCTCTAGTTTTGACCTTGAAAAGTGACCCAATAGTCGATAGCTTGGGCTCCATATAAGTACACTATAGAAGCGCGCACTTTGAAACCCCGAAACTTGGCTTAAAACGCATTTTCCCAAGTTCTCGTTGTGTTTCTCAGAATCTACGCATAAAACTACCCCAGAAAAGTGGATTTAAAAAAAAAAAGTCCCCCCCGACTACCTTTGCACCCCAATTTCTATTCCAAAAGTTGTTTTTCTCGGCAATTTTAGGGTGTAGAATTCAAATTTTGACATATCAGAGCTTGTGGAACCAATTTGAAAGATAAAATGTAAATGTAAATGATAAAACGAGTTTTCAATTACAGAAAATTGTCGATTTTTCCTTTCTTATAACTCCGTCCGTTTGCTTCAACAAGCTCTGATACATTAAAATTTGAATTCTACACCATAAAATTACCTAGAAAAACAACTTTTGGAATAGAAATTGGTTAATATTAGCTTTTTAAGAGCTTTTTCAAAACGCAAAAAAAGGTCGCATTTATCCCACTCCCAAGATTTGTAATTTTTTTCAAGTTAATTTTTAATTTTTGATCCTTAATCATTTTTATTTAGGTGGACAACGGACAACTGGACAACCGGACAACGGTCAAGACGACGAAATGTACAATGAAGACTTTAGTCAAGGCGACGAAATGTACAATGAAGACTTTTCGATTGGAAGTTTGTACTTGCTAATCATAACTGTTTAAATTTCACTTAGGCGAAGCAGAGCAACGACTTCGTACCTACAAGGACTTTTCAAAAGAAAACAAAAGCTTCCAGAACGATTCGGGGTAAGATAAATCTGTAATCCGTGTAAAAGTGATTTTAGATTCAATCAGTTGCAAGAAAATTCCTGGGAACGGACCCCAAACAAGTTTATTATCCATGAAGAGGTAATTTAATGGTGTATTTTTCGAAATATTTTAAACCTGTTGATTTAGAAAACACTCGAGGAGCACGCTTACGGATCAAAGCAAGATGAATCAATGGTCAGCAAGATTATGTCAACACCGCAGAGTAAGCCTAGCTCTTTAAATGACTTTCAAGTATTATTTAGCTGTTGTGAATGGACGACGGATGGATAGGCACTCGTTGAAGAGAAATCTCGATCAACAATTTGCTGGTGTTGGTTGTTTGATTAATGATTTTACCAAATGTGAAGGCAAACAATATACTATGCGTTTCAGGTACCAGCAATTCCATGTCAACGGCTGGATGACGATCTACCGAGCCCATCGTACAATGTGACGGCAGCTCACTCGACTCTCGGATCAATGAATGAATCAAAAATGGATCGACTCATTAAAATATGTTGACATTTTAATTTAGACAATGTTTTAATTTAGGATGCCTCAATGAACACTTCGATGAGTGAAGTCGAAGTTTTGATTTACAACATGCGCCAGAGGGTGCCACGAAAAAAGGTGAACTGCAGTGTTTTGATAGCTAATCAGCATTTGTTTAGGTGGACTTTAGGGAGGATATAACGAATCGACATTCAAAGACCGTTACGTCGATGTGAGTGACTTTACATAAACCGCTAACTTCTAATTTTAGGAATCATGTTGAGCCTCAACGTCGCCCCATTGAAACGCGAAGTGCAACTATTTCACGACATATTCCAAGAGAATTCGACACAGGAGATGCAAGTGTTCCGAAGCGAATTCGCCAAGAAACGAACGATTTGAACATTTTGCATCGGAAAATTGTCGAAGATAAGCCGATTGTGCAGACAACTAAATTATCAAGGTAATTTTCAAATTCCTCAAAATTTTGCAGTAGAGGCTCCTCGAAATAGCCACAAGTCCCAACATCGGCGCTATAACTTTTTTTTAAACGTTTTAGAGATCCGTCTCCGGCATCAACTTGTTCAACTACGACTGAAACAAGCACGACGAAGCACGCGTTGAACATTAAGCCGAGCACTTTACAATTTGGATTCGTGGAAGTTAACACGGCTGTCACTTTGAGGTTCGTTTTGAGGAGAAATGATCCCTGTCCAACAAACTTGCATATGTTATTTGTTTGTTTAGAGTTACCATCAGAAACACTTCCAAGGAAAGCATTGAAATCGATCCAAGTCTGAAAAGGAACACACCTGAATTCAAGGTATGTATCGAATTGATGGCTCAGGCAACCTTGTTTAGTTGAGCAGTGCGAAACGCATTCTGCATGCTGGTGAAACGTATGATTTGGAAGTCACCTTCAATCCCGTTGGAAAAGATGGCCGAATGGGAAATCGTTTGGTTTTCTACGATTCGATCCTTATCAAGATCTCACGACCTGAGCCGATGATATTTAAAGTAAGTTTTTGCCTAGCTTTAATTTATACAGCTTAATTTTAGATTCCCGTGCATGCTTGTGCAAAAGTGGCTCAGCTGTCTATCTTTGCTGGACAAACGCCACTGAATATGCGAAAGAATGGGGACTTCATCCTTAAAGTTGCCAATTTGGAGCAATTCTCGCTTACACTACAAGCAACTCAAAGGTTTCTTCGTAAATTTGCACTTAAATTTTAATATTTTTAGAGCCGCTTTTGCTGTCATTGATGTCATTGATGTATTGGACAATCCTCTTGAATGCCAAGTCAATCCATCAAAGAGGATACTGTTGCAGAAAAATCAGAGACAAGTAAGTGCTATTGTTGAATTGACTACATTTTTCTTTAGAATGTTCATGTGATGGTAAATGATACGATTCGAGCTACTTCATCACTTTCAAACTCGAGTAGTTCCATCAATACGTGCTCAAAGTGAGTTTTGTTGGAATTGCCATTATGTATTTGTGTTACAGTGGGCCGGCTTTCTTTGTGCGAATTGTTTGGGCGGAATTGATTTCGCTGCAACGAGCAATAATTTATGCTAGAAAAAAGAGGTATGGTTTGAAAGAGTCAACTAATTTGTTTTAATTGTCACTTTATTTCTTTGAATCTTATCATTTTAGCAAAACCATTGTTCTTGAGGGCAGCATTGGAAATATTCAAGAAGAGTTCTTTGGAAAGGCGACTCCATATGAAGCGCCAATTGAATGGGTAAGTTAAACTTGCTAAACCATAATGAATAATATTTAGCCAATTTCAAGCTGCGATGTTGAACTACTGAAGCGTTCACTTAGGTCAACAAAGATCTTTGTAAGCTTTGGTGGCGATTGCAGGGTCAATTTTTAAATTTTTTAGGTTAGCACTGATAGAATTGTTGCCCAGACACAGTCAGTCTTTGATCTCACTATCAATCAGACGGCTCAACCATGGGATTTAGATCAAACTTTCAACTCGACATTTTCAAGAACGGTGGGATTTGAATGCCTCAATACATTGACTATTCAATTTGCGAGAGTCTTTTCAATTATGCTTGTCTTTTAGATAATTCCTGACCCAGATGCCACGTTAACACTATAGGATGAGTTTACCATTCGACTCTTCAAATAATCTAATGGTATGAATTGTGTTCGTTACATGGTTCTTGGACGTTTCACTATTTCAATTATTTAAATTCGTTTCCTTTGAAATAATCGGTGAAATAGGATGTTTAAGAAAAACGTCAGTTCAGCTCGATTTTGCTCAGAATTACTAGTTACTCCCAGTGGTTGTTGTGGTGATAAAGTGAATATTTTGGGCGAGCAAATTTTTCATATTTTTTCACTTTGTCCGGATTTCATGGCCCCCAATACCTGGAATTTCTGAGCCACCATGATCACCACCACCATGAGACTTTTGCCATAAAATTAAAACTTTTTACTGGCATCGTGATGCATACTAAACACTACTAGGATAACTACAAATTTTAACCATGCACTTTATTGATCAGCGTTTCCTTTGAAAAACGGGACACTTCTTTAAAAAAAGCGAGTTGAAAATCTCGTATTTACGACAGATTATCATATAATGTAGATGAATAAAGTGTTTGGCTAAAAATCTTAGTTTATAGATTAACGCTAATATGAACACCACAATGCCAGTAAAAAGTTTTAATTTTTTGCAAAAGTCTCATGGTAGCTCAGAAATTCCAGGTATTGGGGGTCATGAAATCCGGACAAAGTGAAAAAATATGAAAAATTTGCTCGCCCAAAATTTTCTCTTTTTCTCCACAAAAACGACCGGGAGCCACTAGAAATTCTGAGAAAAATCGAGCTGAACTGACTTTTTTAAAAAATTCCCTGTAGTTCAGTTTTTGCTGTAATTTGCATTTTGTTTGTAAATATGTAAGTGCATAGCATTTAAGGCCTTTTTTGTGTTCTAACAGAATAATTTAGAATAAATACATACGCTTTGCAGGGTCAATGATAATCTAAAGTTGGACAAAGAGTTTGGATCTGAAAAGAAGCTGTTTGCAATGCTCGGACATGTAAATGTTGGTCCAATGGTTAGACTGTAGTAGACCGCAATCCCAGTAACACAAACGAAATTTGGTCTGGCTTTGGAATTTGCTTTTGAAACGCAGCTTGGGTAGAAATGGAAACTTTTGATTATTTTTTTAAATGTATCTCAATGAATTGAGCTAGCATATGAATTTTATTTTATAATTTTATGTTTTTCGTGCATTCTGGCATCGCGGAAAACCTAAAAACCGGGATTGGTTTGGATTCTCGATAAGACCGTAAAGTTTAATTTAGCCGCTACCATATTATTGAAGTCCGAAAAATTGTGTTAAGAACTTGATTTTATCATCTTAAGTCAGATTTTTGTAGCTTGTTACATTCGAGCCTTGTTACAGGTGTTTGTCTGGCGATATCCGTTAGCTGTAAACGTAAAACATTGTGATTATCATCATCGTTTCTCTGTTTTGGATTACCATTGATGCGGGGACAGCCGTGTGCGTTGTGGGCCCCACCCCTACGTAACCCAAACTTTGGCCCTTTTTTATAGACCACGAATTGAGTTTATTTTTGAATATAGGCGCTTTCGAAAGCATAGTCAGATTGAGCCGTAGCATCTGTTTAAAGAATTATCTTTCCCTGATCATCTTAACGTTAATCTTTCATTTCTAGTCAGCGTCGAATGGTCAAAAAATCAAGGAAGAGTTGAACAAGAAATTAAGATCCATGTCGATTAGATTGAGCTCCAAGAAATATGAATCGACCGAACAAAAAGACTTAACGCTGTTTTTAATTTTTGTGATCGTTTAAAGAATAAGTTTTAACTTTTGTGAAGAATTTGGGCAAAATGGTCAGCAAAAGATTGAGGGCAAAGTAGGAGTATCTTACAATAACTCGCCAAAGTTGGCAAAAAAACTGGTACTAATAAAGTTAGGGGGGGGGGGCACCTTTTTTCTTCAAAACCACTTTTTCTAGGGTGGTTTTATGCGTAGATTCCGAAAAACACAATAAGAGATTAGGAAAAGGCGTTTAAAGCCGAGGCTTCGGGGCTTCAAAGTGCGCGCACATACAGTGTGGTGAGAGGGATACACATAAGGAAGAGGTCCAAAAAATGGTCTCGCAAAACATTTTTTGGAACAAAAAACACTTCTTCTTGGCATAATTTAGCCTACTGATTACTACTGATTCTAATCAAATTGAAGTTAAATAAAAAAAATATTCTTTTCCAAATTTCGACCCCACATGAGTCAAAATCTCAAAAAATATATTTTTTCGATTTGTTTTGCCTCTACCAGTCAATTTAAGTTCGAAAATGAACATTTAGTGGTTAAAAAAATGGTTTTCGCTCTAGTTTTGACCTTGAAAAGTGCCCCATAGTCGATAGCTTGGGTTCCATATGGTGAAGTGCACTTTAGAAGCACTTTGAAGCCCCGAAACTTGGCTTAAAACGCATTTTCCCAAGTTTTCGTTGTGTTTTTCGAAAGCTACGCATAAAATTACCCCAGAAAAAGTGGTTTTAAAGAAAAATAGTGCTCCCAACTACCTTTGCACCCCAATTTCTATTCCAAAAGTTGTTTTTCTAGGTAAATGTCGCTTTTTTGCGTACAAGGTGCGACTTTTCCATTTTTTTCGTCTAAAAATGACGATCAAACGGTTGTCAAATTCTACTCTAACAATCAAATGAACTGCATAAACTTTTTCTACTTCTAATTGTAAGATTTCTAAAGTCTTTGCTTCATTTCAACCCCCATTAGACTAAAAATTTAAGGAATCTTTATAAAACTTGTTGAAGTAGATTTCGTTAGCATCAATTTTGTTTTTCTTTCTTTTCTTTCAACTTGTTTAATTGTATTTTCATTTAGATACGTCGTGAAAGCAATGAGCGAAGACACGGCTTCGATCAACGAAGCGCCTTTGCCAACGAGCGAAGAAACACCGGATAACATAGAGGTAGCGTTGAATAAATGATACTTTGGTGGTTGGGAGGGGCCACTTTTATCCTGGCTTAGTTGGATCTAATGTTCTGAGTGGTTGTATTGATACCTTTTATCCATTCGAAGGTAATCAAATATTGGTGACTTAATAAATTGGTGACTATTTTAGCAAGTTTTTGGCAATTCTAACCTAATCTCATGTACTTTAACCACCAAACGCTACCTCAAAGCTGCTTACACTTGAAGAAACAAATAAAAGCGGCAATATGAAACTTGAAATGTATTGTAAATGCTCTAAAAATATAAGCATATTTAATTACTCGAGAAAAGGTATCAAGACAATCACTCAAAACATTAGATCCAACTAAGCCAGGAGAAAAGTGGCCCTCCCAACTACCAAAATACCAAATAAATTTTTGTAGCCTACTTGCAGCACTCCAGCTTAACGTAAAACTAAACTTATAAGCTTAAGATCTAACTATAAGCTGAGCTTAACGAAGCTATTCAAAGTTAAGCCGGAATGCTGCGAGTATGAATAGGTGCCTTTCTGCTATTTTGTCTCAAAAACTGTGAATTTAAAATCAGAGTTTGTTTAGAAAGTTTTATAAGTTTTAGCTGGGTTGCTTCTAGCCCTAATCACAACTGCAAACTCAATATTTAGGTACGGCGAAACGAGGTGCTCGCTGCATATGCCAACTTTCGCGACCTTGCAAAGGATAAACGAGAGAAACTGATTGAGTCAAAGAACTACCAATTGTTTAAAGAGTAATATTTTCGTACTTTTGTCAACTTAACTTATTTTAGAGACGCTGTTGACCTCGAGAGTTGGATGAAAGACACGATTGCTTCGCTGAACTTGGATGGAAAGCTTGAGTCAAATCTTGTCAATGTACAGGTGGATATTCCAAGCAACAATTTATTCATGACAAGATTTTTAGGCTAAGCAAAAGCGGCGCGAAACTTTGGTTGTCGAGATGAAACTTAACGGAGAGCGACTTGCGACTCTATGTGATGGTGGTCGCGACCTAATCTTGGCCAATCATTTTGCTTCAAAAGCCATACAGGTACCTAAGTAACTAATTGGTTTATTACTAAGACACTTTTTAGGAACACGTCAATCAACTCGTGGATTTGTGGGAGGAACTTCAACGGGCAATGAAAAAGAAAGGCCAACTTCTCCAACAAGCACTTAATATTTCGAACTTTTATCGTCTTTGTGAAGCAATGAAAAAGTATTTATAAGAATCTGCTGTCAACGTTTTCATTTTTAGTTGGATTGACGAGCGAGTGAAGGCTTCGCAGCCGACCATTGAATTGCCGGTAGATGAAACCGCTTCCGTGAAAACGGAGAATGTGCTGGAACTGTTGATAAAGGTAAGGCGAAAATTGAATATAATTTAATTTAAGTTTTGTTTAGGATGTCCATATGAACTCGCCGAAACTTTTGAAAATTGAAGCCGAGGCTGACCGCATTCTCAAATCTGGAGTCGATGATGAAGTTGACATATTGACAAGACGTGACTCGGTAAAGGAATCATGGGAAACGTTGATGCAAAACATCGACAAGCTGAAGCATGCACAAATCGAACAAGAACGAGTGGGGTTTTTTTTCGATAATTAGAGCAATAAACATTTTTTTTAGTTGGCACGACTTGCATTTGAAATGGCTGAGGTGAAGCAGTTTCTTGAGCAATATCAAGATGCCAGGACTATGGAACCGCTCAGTGCTGCGAATGCCATCGAGGTTGGATAAAAGTTTTATGATAATAGACTAAGAAATGATTTAGGAGCAGCTGCGAAAAGTTGACGAAGTGTCGACGAAGCTACGATATTTTGAACATCGCTTGAAGCACTCCTCAAAAGATGCGCAACTGTTTGGCCGCGAAAAGGACTTTGAGCTTGTAACAACGGAGCTTGACGACTTCAAGGTTGAATTCCAATATTTAAGTCAACAATGTGTGCTGTTTTAGAAACACCTGACGAACACGCGTGAAAAACTTAACAATGAAATCTTGATCAGCAAATTTGGTGGAGAGTATGCGTAAGTTTCGTTTAAGCTGAATCAGTTAGCTCATTTAGAAAACAATAACAACTGACCAATTTTAGAGACATCGTTTCTTGGTCTCGAGAAGTTTTCGCAACAATGAATGTCAGTGAGATGCCATCGGACGTGGACAATGCTGAACAGTTCTTGGAAATGATGAAGGATATTAAGGTTTGTTTTTATTCACTTGATTTATTTATTGGAATTTAGGGAGAAATTGATGCGCACATTGAAATCATCAATGCATGTTTGGATAGTGGATATTTATTAGAAGACTATCGCGGTAACTAGTAAAGATGTCAAAAAAAGTGGCCATTTCATTTAGATCTAACGGACAAAATCGATGATTTGAAAACGCTTCGGGATGAACTTCGAGCAAACTGGGAAAAGCAAAATGCATTCTTCGAATCGTGTCATCGTTTACGACTTTGGGAGCGAGACGCTGCAGAAGTTCAAAGTTCCGTGACAAAGTTGCAGGTACATTAGGCATATTCTTGATTGAGTAATTGCTGATTTCAGGATTTGTTGACGCGTCTCTTCCCAGTAAACAACAGTTCGCTGCATAATGCCAAAAAACAATGCGCTGAATTGGGACGTTTTGTTGGTGCCAATGAACAACTTATTGATGAGCTGACGAAGAAAGTGGAACTCGTTACGCAAGGTATATTTTAGTAAATTCAACGAATTCTGACAAACAAGTGCAAACATAAAACTTTAGGTTTACCGGAAATGAAAGAAGCTATCGGAAAACAAATGGCATCTATCAACGCCGATTTCAAAAACCTTCAGGATCTAATGAGCAACTTGTACAAAGAAATTAAAACGACAGAGGATGTTCAACAATTCGAAAAGTCCGCATACAAATAAAGCTTTACCATTGTTGAGTTTAGAGAACTGGAGACAATCAACACTTGGATGAACAATAGCTTCGCGTCGCGTCAAAAGGCCATCCAAATTCACAAAAAGAATATTCGGACTGAAGGCCTGAAGCACGACGCTTTCAAGAGGGAGCTTACCGTGAGTAGTTTGATCATGCTCAAAAATAACTTCTTGGATTTTAGGCTTACGGCTCTCGGCTTGGTGAAATTAAAAAACAAGTTGAAGAGCTACGGGACAATGGATACACAAATGCGCATATGTCATACGGAAAAGCACAAGAAAGATGGAATCAATTGAACATCGAAAGCGAGGAGCGATCCGAATTTCTGGAAGCAGTCGGGATGGCGGTTCAAGTGGAACGTGAGATCGAGCAATTCAACGGGTATTTTTATATCAACAATTTTTTATTGAATGCCTTAGATGGCTGACGCAAGCTGAAGGACAATTACGATCGGTCCAAGCGGCGGCGAATGGAGAAGATGATCCATCAACAATCAATGCCAGATTGAAAGCGCTGAAGCTTTTTGAAAACACCGCAATAATACAACAGGTAAAACAACCCACTTAAATTAACTTTTAAACTTTAGGAAACGATCGACGATATTGGAGAGAAGGCCAAGGGAATTGAAACAAAGGAGATTCGGGATGCTTACGGCTCGATTTTACAACGATACAACAAATTGAACAAGGATCTCAATAACGTTTTGGTTGTCGGAAATCAGCAGCACCAAGGTAAGCGTTAGGAATACAAGAGGATAAATTGATATTTTAAGACTTGGAACTACTTTCGGAGATCTACGATGAATTGAATTGGGCTCGCGAGAAGTTGCGAATGACGGTGCTCATCGAATCCGACGATCTTCATGTGTTGCGAATTGCGCTACAGAAAAATGAGGTGTTTATTGAACTTTGGTTGATATTTAACTTTTTCTAGATGTTGCTTGCTGAAATGGATGGCCATACAAAATCGATTGAAGAGCTTCAGAAGCGTTCAAATTCAGTGGGAAATCAAAAGAACAGGCTTCCTAAGGTGCTATCTTTATCTTAACCTGTACACTACGCTTACTTTAGTTAATCTCGGCCCAAAGCTACTTATTTGAATGCTTCAACGAGTTAAAATTGAGCGCCAATTTGAAACAACAATATTTAACAATGGCTATTGAGGTAAGGAATTCGTCATGCAAACTTTAAACTTTTGTATTTTAGAAAAACAAGTACTACGAAGATGTTCGCGAGGCCCAGGACTGGATTGACTCAAAAGATCGATTGTTCCTGAGATCGGCTGAATTGAAAGACGAAGAATCATCGGAGAGAGCTGCTAGACAACACGACGCTTTTCTACTTGACGTGCAAGTTTTTGAGGTAGATTGCTTTTGTTGCGCTTCAAGCAGGTCAAATTTAGACCACCATTAATGAACTCCATTCGCGTATGCTCGAATTGCAAAAAAGCGCGGAAAACGGTAGCTTTTCCTTTTGTTCAAACAAAGTTGATGTTTAGAACTGCCTCATATTGTTTGTCAGCACAATATTGTCGCTCGCAAGGAAGGTGAACTTTCTATTAAGAAAGGCGAACGAGCATTGCTTCTTGGTGAACCGACAGCTGATCTATGGAAAGTTCAGGTGATTACTCATTCAAAATAATCAAATCAGGATTTTTTAGAGCAAAGGATCAATTGGAATTGTGCCGAAATCAAGTTTCAAGAAGCTCAAGCCAGATGATCGGGTTCATATTCTATTGTTTTTTTGTTCAATTATGTTTTAGTCAAAGCCAAAAGAAATGCAGCACGTTCTGGAGTTGGCTTATAAAAATCTGACAAAGAAATCTGAACAGAGGAAGCGGTAGTTTTTATTTAATTTTATTTAACTGTAGCATTTTAGGCATATTAATGATGTTAATGCTGCCTATCATTTGAATCACCAATTTGTTGCTTTGGTCCAATGGGTTGACGATAGGGTAAGGAATTTTGTTGTTAATCTGCTAAATTCCTAAATTCAGATTGTTGTGTTACAAAACCAGAAGACAAACTCATTGGCTGGCCTATCTTGTTTTGAAAAGGATCTACAAGATTACAAGAACACCTATGAGGTAACCTAATTGCTCTTATTCAAGCCACACTTTTCTTTTCAGCAAAAGATGCAACAACTTGCCGCGCAAGCCAATGAAATATCCAACGACAGCAGTGTGCAAGCCATCTTCCGACACACTTTGGACGACCTGAAAGCAAAATGGAAAATTCTCGGCGCTGCATTCGCGGTCAAGGAACAAAAAGCGGCGGCACACAAAGCCTTGGACAGTTGGTTGCACAATGCAGCTGAATTGGATGGACATATCTCGGAAAAGGTACGGTCTAACAAAAAGTTTACTATGCATCACTTTTAAGGAGATTTTGATCAGCGAAGAAATCATTGGGTGTGACAATATATTGATTACCAAGTTGAAACGAGATTATGAAATGGCCGAGAGTGATATGGAAGATATGGGACGACTTCTTGATCGGTTCATCGATTTGGTATTCTGTAATTTTGACTAAAACATTTTATTATTTTTTAAGGCTGATGCACTGCGCCAACGGTTTCCGGAAGTCTCTTCAATGGTTTATGATAGACAAAAAGAGATTTGCGAACGATGGAATGGATTGGTCAATAAGGCAAGTGTTGGAGCTTGGAAGTTTATGATTCCATTTAGCTGGAAGAGCGACGAAGTGAGATCAGAGAGCTTGTTCCCCTTTACGCCTTCCTCACGGAGAATCAAGATTTGTGCCAATGGATCGAATCCGAAACGATTGTTGCAAGCTCAACGGATACGGCGAATGATGTTGAAGGAATCAAGGCTATGCTCGATCAACATTCAGAACTCTGGGATGATATTTCGGCACGCAAAAGGGATCTGATTGAGCATGAAAAGTGAGTTTAAGGTTCATGGCTTCAAAACTTAAATCTTTTAGAAATGGAGGAGATCTGATTGCTGCACGTCATCTTGCCAAGAAGGAAATTGCTGAACAACTCGAAAAAGTACTTTACTTAAATTTTGTTATTTATTGCTTTTATAGGCAGTCATTGCTTTTAATGGATTGCAAGAAACATGGAGTCGGCGCAATGAACTGCTTGAAAATGCACTCGAGACACAAAAGTTTCTTCGGGAGTATGAACAGGTCGCGTTAAACTTTTTTATGACTAAAGCTTTATTTTTAGTTTAATGAGTGGTTAGATCTTCATGAAACAATGATTGTATCTCACGACGTTTCGGGTGAAGATGTCGATGTTTTGTTGACGCGTCAAGAAGACCTCCAAAAGTCCGTAGAAAAGAAACGGGACTCGTTTCAAAATTTCAATTCTATGGCTCAACATTTGCTATCAAAAAGGAATGTCGAAAAGGTAGATTTATTGACTATTTGTGATATATTGGAAAGATTAAATTTAGGATTCAATTGAAAGTCGACAGACACAAATCAACGAACGCTGGGAGCAATTGACTCTAAGTATCATTGACTCAATTAGCCGGATTGGTGATGAGAGAATCATCCAAGTATCTTTTCTTTTGGATAGCGACTATGTAACTTCAATTTAGAACTTTGGAAAGCAAGCTGAAGAAATGGAGTTCTGGATTCGGGAAAAATTAGTGGTAACATGGGTTTTGTTTAGTTGACGATACAGTTTGATTTAGATCTTGGAGGAGATCGAATATTTGCCTGAAAAGGAATTGGAAAACGCTACTCAAACACATAAAAGCCTGGGAGAAGAAATTAGAGCCAATAACGAACGAATTGGTACGAAATTTTTGTTGTATGACTAATTCATAAAACATCAGTACGCTAGTAAAGTTTTGATTTTAGTCAAGGTTCTGAATGCTGGACAAGAAGCGATGAACAACTCTTGCAAGAGTATGGATCAAACTGATATGGTAAGACTTTCAATGAATCATAGATATAATGAAAGCTCGTTTAGATTATGGAACGTATTCAAAGAATTCAGGGCCAATGGGAAAAACTCACAAGAAGTTATGCAATCAGTGCTACCAGGCTTGAGGTATTTGGTAATATGATTTTTCACTTGTAATTTTTTTTCTAGAAAGAAAGAAATCGCAAGAAGTTCAAAAGGTTGGCTAACGATTTGGAGCATTGGATTGCTGAGACAGAAGAGGAGCTTGCTAATAAAGATTGTGGAAGTGTGAGTGCATATGTTTGAGAAAAATAATATTATGATTTAAGGATGTTGAAACGGTAAAGCAGCTACTCAAGAAAAACGATTTCTTCGAGGTCCAAATGAGTGTTTATGGCGACAAAGTCCTCGAACTATTTGGGCTTCTTGAGGATTTACCAAAAGAGGTTTGTTTCAATTGTAGATCCAAAAATGTGCGTCGTTATAGGCTATGGACGATTCGATGTCTTTTGAAGTGGTGGACGCAGAGACGGTGAGGGCTCGTGCTGCGGAAATTGTGGAAAGGTTTGATCGCTTACGTCCACTTGCTGATGCACGAATCAACTTGCTAAACAACGTAAATGAAAACAACAATGTCCATTGTAAAATTTTGTTCAGACCTTGAAAGTTTGTCAGTTGGCTCAAAAGATTGACGATGAGATTAGCTGGGCTTCCGAAAAACGAATTCTTGCAATGAATGCCGATCATGGGAGGAATTTTTCGCATTTCCAAGTAATTCGATTGTATCAAAATGATATAGTTAAAATTTTTAGAGTGTTCTTCGAAAACATCGCCGACTTGAGGAGGACGTTGTGAATCGGCAACGACAAGTGGATCTATCTTTTTAAATTTGCCTATTTGTTTATTTTAGTTGCTTTCACTCCAAAAGACGTGCTCAGAAGTTGACCAAACGATTGCAAAGTCAGTGAAACTTGATGTCAAGCTACGGGACTTGGACGCACTTTTGGAGGATCTAAAGAACGAACTTGTCAAACGGAACAATCATCTAATGGAATGCAAGAAATATCATGTAAGGGAGCAAACCTTTGTCTTTAAGTATGGTTTTTAGGAAATCTCATCACAAATCGAGGAGGAAAGTTATTGGCTCTCTGAATGTGCCGAGATACTCGATCAAAACCAAGAAGCTCGCTCATCTGTTGCCATTGAATGCGCTCTTAAAAAGCATAACCTTTTGGAGGTACTTGAATTTTTTCACAATGGCAGTTCTGCTTTTTACTGTACAAATTAATCACTTTAGGACGATCTGGAGATTCACAAAGCCCGCATCATGGACCTTGGAGGATCACACAAGGCCAGCTTTGCTAATGACGTCGAATTTAATGAAATGATTGAAAAAGATCTGGGTCAATTGCAAAAACGGTGATTTCTTCACCAGCTAAACTCATATTCTTTATTCAGCTTGTCTACGGTTCTCTCGTTGTCCTCGGCGCGTCGTGATGTATTAGAAGAAGCAGCTAACTCGATCAATTTTCACTGGCAATGCGACTTTATTGAGGCTTGGATTGGTAAGCTTCTATTCGATGCATTTAATTCATTCAATTATAGTCGATCAAATGCGACAGCTCGGATTTGTGGAGAACATCGAGGATCTGGAGAGCATTCGTCGCTCGAAACTTCAACATTCCGTCTTTTGCTCTCGAATTGAAGCTTTCAATCAGGAAGAATTGAGAAAATGTGCGGTTTATGTTGAACAGGTAAGCACAATTTGTTTGAATCTATTTATATTGTGTTTTAGCTTCAGCAAACGGCGTCAAGCGATCAGCTGCATCGACATTGGGGAGAAGTGATGAAGAAATGGATGATGCTCGAAAAGAAGGCAGCGGACGTTAGCAACCAACTTGATGATGCCGAGGCGATGCGAAGGTTGCTCTTTCGAGACTATAAAGGCTTAATTGCAATACACATAGCATATTATATTTTACGTTTTAATTGAAAAGTCTTTTTTAGTAACTTGGAAACGCTTTGGTTGGAATTTGCTCAACAGGCGTCCGCGTTCAATTCATACTACGAAAGCTCGGCTGAAGATCTAACCGACCCAATTCGATGGTGCAACTCGTCCAAAGATCTCGAGGAATTGTGGAAGACTCACTCAACTTTTGTTTCATCTCTGTCGACAGCCGAACAGAAATACATTAGCCTCGTCGATTTGGATGCAGCAGCACGAAGTAAAGTTTATATAAACTTTGGAAATTTTTGAACTTTAGAAATCTACCCTGGACCAAACCCGTTTACCTGGTTCGATATTCAGGCCATCGAAACGACTTGGCAATCTTTGCAGCAGCTTGTACAGGTGAGTCGGACTTGAGAAATTATTTGATTACATGTAATTTTAGCAACGTAAAGTTGCTCTTGAACACGTGACCGAGTGCTTGATGGAAAACGAACAAATGGAGAAAGAATTCGCTTCACAGGCCAACATGATTGCTAACTTCATTGCCGACGTAAAGCGAAGAGCTCTGGAGGTTTGAATTTTTCAATAGATTTTCTTCAAATCGGCATTTAGGCCAATGGTTCACTGGAAGAGCAATACAAAAAAATTCGAGGAATTGTCGATGAATTACTAGAGAAACGCGGCCACCTCAAACAGATGGATGAACTTGGCGCCAAACTCGAGCGACACCTTCTTCTCACAAACAGGCACGACTCTTATTAGAAACTTATTGACCGGGTTTGTTTGTTTAGGTACACTAAATTCTCACGCATCAGCTTGTATCATGATTGGGAGAATTTGGAGATGTTGATCACGCGTCTTCGGCAAAGTTTGGATCAGCAAATTCGGTGAGAAACCATATTTTGCCGCATTTTTAATCTTTACTATTTAGTGCTCTGAATGAGGGTGATATAAAAGAAGAAGCGCTCAAAGAATACATGACAATCTTTCGCCATTACGATAAGGTAATTGGATAAAGAATAGTTACAAATTGGAACTTTTCAGAACCTGACTGGTTACATCAGCTACATTGAATGCTTGAAGTGCCTGAGTGCTCTCGGAAATGATGTGGGCGAAGTGTCTGAACGTGTCATGAGCAAGGAACAACAGCTTCTTCTCAAACAATTGGATCCACAAAAGTAATCTCGGGAGAGGCATCTCGACTGTTTTTCAAGTCATCGGATTTAGTGAAGGAAAAGTTTCGATTCAAAACTTTATCTCGTGGATGATTTCACAAGAGACGCCCGATGTACGACATGGAGATGATATTCGAGCTGCTTTTCGGTATACTTAAATGAAATACTTTTAATTGATCGAGTTATAGTGCTCTGACCAAGGATGGAAAGCCGTATGTGACTCAAGAAGAACTTAAAGCGGTATGATTTCTTCCATTTGGCTAGCTTTATTGCAAACCTAGGTTCTTCCACACAATGAGTTCACTTACTGCCTGCAAAAGATGCCAAGATACAGGGATCAAAAAAAAGGTGTGCAATTTTTTTAGAGAAATCTTACTATTAATTTCACGTCGTTTAGGTACAATCGTCCACGAATTGTTCGACTACCATGAATTCTCCGAGCAAATTGTCTCAAATTAGGTTTTTCGTTTTTTTTGTTTAACTACTTTGTTCCCGCTTGTGTTTTGTTACCGATTTTTGTAATGATGTTTGTAAAGAGGTAGATTTAATGCTGACGATTTAACATTGGGTTGTTATTTGGAAATAAATATTCTTGATCTTAAAAACTAGCAATTGCAATGACCAACTTTCGTGGAAATGGGATGGTTTGACGATAATGCACTTTTGAACTTTTGAACAAAGCATGAGACGATAGTTGCTGTTGATTGTTCATGTTGTTGCACAAAGCAAAGAAGACAAACACAATATTTGCTGAGAGTTCCCCTCTACTCTCAGGTCCATTCCGGGGTCTCTTCCCTCCATTCACCCCCGCATTCAAGCGTTTCTCTTTTGCCTTTTCTTTCCCCCTCATTCCGTTTCTTCCGCTTCCGATCGACCACGAAGAAACCGTGAAAATCTCGCAAAAACAACCACGGTGTTCGTTTTAAAATATCATTGCTGAAGTTTTTGTTCTTTTCTTTGACCTCTACAACCTCTTGTCCACTTCATTGAGGAATTTTCATATACTCTTTTCTTTTTCATCAATTGCCAAGGCTATTCCCAATTGTTTGAAACCGACCAAGTTATCCTAATACTTTTTTGAAAAAAGCGGCTAAATTAAGCCTCGGTTTAAAGTAGCTGAATGCTCAAGTGAAAAATCCATAATTAATTTAAATTTGAAATAATACGCTAGCTTTTCTGGTGGGCATTTTAAAAAAAACGCTTAAAGCTAAGATCGAGTCTATCTTTTCAACTGCTGGATTTTGGCCATTTTCCAGGATGCGTTTTGCTTCAAGCTTGGATTCAGATTAAGTCATTGAACAACAACTTTTGACTGAATTTCGAAATGACTCTTTGAAGGCCAATTGAGGATTATCGGTGCTAAAGATTTGTAGAAAAAGATGAATGGGATGAGACGAAAAAAACTAGAACAAAGCAAAACTCGATTCCGATCGGAGATTAGAAAATGGGGAAATGGGGGATGTATCGAGGTGGAAACTTTTGCGCGTGAAAAGGTGAAAAGAAAGTTTGTCACGATGAATAGCTTTAAAAAGTACCCTTCTTAACCTTTACTTTGGAGTTCCCTTGCGCTGAACAGCCGCTTTCTTGGCTTACTGTAAGGGCAACTAGTGCCACTTTACAGGATTGCTTGAATTCAGCTCATTGCTTGAATATCTTTTCAGCTCATTACTTGAATATCTTTTCAGCTGATTGTTTGAATATCTTTTCAGCTCATTGCTTGAATATCTTTTCAGCTCATTGCTTGAATATCTTTTCAGCTCATTGCTTGAATATCTTTTCAGCTCATTGCTTGAATATCTTTTCAGCTCATTGCTTCATATCTTTTCAGCTCATTGCTTGAATATCTTTTCAGCTCATTGCTTGAATATCTTTTCGACTGATTGCTTGAATATCTTTTCAGCTCATTGCTTGAATATCTTTTCAGCTCATTGCTTGAATATCTTTTCGACTGATTGCTTGAATATCTTTTCAGCTCATTGCTTGAATATCTTTTCAGCTCATTGCTTGAATATCTTTTCGACTGATTGCTTGAATATCTTTTCAGCTCATTGCTTGAATATCTTTTCAGCTCATTGCTTGAATATCTTTTCAGCTCATTGCTTCATATCTTTTTAAAGATTGTACAGTTACTTTTAAAAACTCCCAAATTGTTGTTGCCTTTCGAATTATTCACTCAATTTCTCTTTGATTCTTATCTAACCGTCTGACTCACTTTTTTTTGCATGGCAATAAGCAAATAAACAGTACAAATGGAGGACTAATATTTTTGAAAATTTTGTTTGAAAAATTTGTGTGTATTTTTAAAATTTCATTTTTAGCTTTGTTTATTTGATGAATGACGATCACCTTTTTGTGTGATTAGTCTAAAAATTGAAATTTATAATAATGAGTAAAAGGATTAGCGAAAAGCGGCTCAAATTTGGCTATTTATTCGTCTAGTTTTAATGTTCAGATCTTTTTTTGAATGTTTAAATGGTTACCATATTTTCTCTAATAGTAATGCACCCCGCCGAGTTGATGACTATTTAACGGTTTCCAAGCTTTCCCAGAAGCTCAACACTCAAATCCCCCACTAGATCTCATCGTCAGCTACATTTTCCGACCCCACATCGATAGGTTCTGATAAGCGGTTCTCGAGATTTCGAGCAATTTAGGCGACGCTGCCGCGTGGCCGAGTGGTAGTGCGTCCCGGCGTTCGTCCAGCTCGGCCGGACTACTGTCGCGTTGAGTATAGATGTCGGTGGTGTTTCGGAAGGTATCGGGGATGGTGCCGATATTGCTTTGAAGGATTAAGATTGTTACAGGGATCTCGGCGCAGGAGGGGAGGAGGCCGTTTAACTTGAGAGCTCAAACTATGCGTTAGCGTTAGCACGCCGGGCGAGCCGAGTTGATGGCTATTTACGGTTTCCAAGCTTTCCCAGAAGCGCAACACTCTAATCCTCCACTAGATCTCATCGTCAGCTACATTTTCCGACCCCACGTCGATAGGTTCTGATAAGCGGTTCTCGAGATTTCGAGCAATTTAGACGACGCTCTGGGTGCACTACTATTAGAGAAAATACGATAATAGGCTTTTTAAACGGTGAATAACTACCGTAAACACTGTGGTAAAGTAGCGTACAGTCGCGTAGTCGCAAAAGTTTTTTTTTGTATTTCAATTTTTCGCATTTCCTTTTTTTCGCAAAAATTTTTCGTATTCCATTTTTTTCAAAGCGCTTGTACTTTTAACAAATGCTTCTTTAGTTTCAAAAAATAACCCTGAATTTCAGCGATTTTTGATACATAAGCCCGCATTCTAGCATAAACGAGTGTCGAGAAAAACGCGTTCAAAGCTAGACTACACAACGCTCCGCACCGTCATTATGTGGCTGGAGTACTATTACAGTATTTACGATAGTTTAGAAAGTTACCCTAATCCTTTCCTTCTTTCAGATTTGCCAGTTCTACTTAAAACTATTGTAAATAACGTAAAAGCTTTAATAGAAGATCCCCCTATAGGAGCGTCGCGTAGTCTAGGTTTACTCTCAAACAAACGCTCATATCTCAACACCAGTACGTTTGTTTCTACGCGCTTTGGTATCAAATTAAAGTAGAGAAAATGGGCGATCTTTTGAGATATAACACATATTTTTAGCATTAACCAGCGCTTAGAAAAAAATGATAAAAAAAATCGCTTTTTTATCATGATGAAAATCGGCTTTTTGCCGGCTTTGCGCTTAAATCTTGTAAGCGCACTCTTTCTGGTGCACTGAATTCTTCATTTTTCTGACAAACTATTCTTTTTTCACCAGAAAATGAAGAATCTAGTGCGCGAGAAAGAGTGCGTTTACAGGAGCGCAAAGTAGAGCATGAAAGAACTCAAAACGAGTTCCAATCAAGTGAATGCTTGGAAAAGAACGAGTTTTACAATCTGAACGACAATCTGAACCAGTTCCTCGCTTTCCTTCAAGAAAGGTCCCACTTTTTGAATGATGACGGATTTTTTGTGGAACGTGGGTCAGAAGGGGGAGAGCTTTCCCCTCTTTCCAATGCTTTTCCCCAAAAAATGTTCTCTCATCGATGATTCAACTCAAATACACGCACGCATTGGACTGGCTTTTTTCTTTAAAAACTTCTTTGAAAAAAATCCCTTTGTTAAAATCTTTTTTTAACAGATCAATTTCTATTCTTGATCCTTTTTGGAATCCGATTTTGGATTAAAAGTTCAAAATTTGGTTCGCTAAACTTTTTGAACACTTCAACTTCCTCCCAAAACAAACATTTTGCCAGAAAGGAATCGAACTCGAGCAAAGAAAAGCGCTCGCTCCAGCGCTCGTTTTGTATGCCAGCGTTTTATCCACTAGACTATCAAGCCAGCTTCTAACTTTTGACAGAGTGCTGCGTTGCGGAAAGCAAGAGTCATCAAAACGGAAAGCAGATCTGCGGGAAATTCTGCGTCGAATGGTCTGTGGCGTATCTCATTTGATCACATCTTACTGTTGCCTTTCCCTTGTAATTTACTTGTGCTAGTTAGTACCGAACTGCTCCTCTACCTTCTTTTTTCTTCTTGAGCAGAGTTTTTTCAAATTCTTCACTCCTTTTCTAGGTCAGCCATGGAACTGGCTAAACCCTGACTAGCTTACAGTCTCTAGAGCCTAATCAGAACATCCTGTCAGAGTAAGAGCTAGATCAAGCCAGGAGCTGGATGAGCTTGGCTTCTGGCCTTACAGTTACAGTATTTGCTACCGACCTAATAGGGTCACCAGAAGCCAGGGCAGATTTGGCTCTGATTTGGCTCTGATTTGGCCTACAGACCCAAGATCATGAGCCTTGAGCTTTGAGCTTCAAGAGTCGGATTCTATCACTAAGATAAATGATTTAACAGTTCAATCAGGACTGGATTAGCCTAGCTTACGGTACTTAGTTTCTACTTCTACTATAATGCTAAACTGAACTTTGAAGCTTTGAGTGATCGGAGTGTTCCGGAGTTTTCTGATTGGAACATTTGATACACGCCCCTTTGCCATTGGCAATCCAATTTTGAACTCAAATATCTTGGTGTTGGGTTGTTCAATTGAAATATTCTTTGTATCATTAGATGCGCCAAGTCTTTCTCTATCGATTGGTACAAAAACTATTTCAATTGGAAAGCGGAACACCAAGAAATTTGAGTTTAAAGTTGGATTGCCAATGGAATAAGGGGCGGGGCGACGGACCTTTTATACACGTCCCGCCCCTTTGCCATTGACAATCTAACTTTAAACTCAAATTTCTTGGTGTTCCGCTTTCCAATTGAAATAGTTTTTGTACCAATCGATAGAGAAAGACTTGGCGCATCTAATGATACAAAGAATATTTCAATTGAACAACCCAACACCAAGATATTTGAGTTCAAAATTGGGATTGCCAATGGCAAAAGGAGTGCGCGTATCAAAAGCTCAATAAGCCTGTTTTCTGGCTTTTTCTGGACCAAGCTT